CTAAAATTGCACCTCGTTGTCGTTGTTTACTAGCAATGAAGAAAAACAAGGCGCGATCTGATCTCACCCAACCAAGGCCTCTGACAGCAGGGTCGCGTTCTCCCGTGGCGTGGGTGCCCCGGTCGCCTGCCCCGCTATTCTTATCGATAGCAGCCTTATCGCACGGGTGTGCGTTATCGATAAGATCGCTGCTGCAATGGTTGGTGGGGTCCGACGACTCACTCGACCGAGTTTGTCCCGCAGTTTCAGTGAGGCAACGTACGATGCGACGGCCGGAGAGAGCAGCAAAACAAACATTCATATTTATTTCCTGATGGAGATGCTGACTCAATAACACGACACTTCATCCTGGCGACTTTTATATCAATTATCCACCCCGAACACATTGAACCATCGACCCACCATGACGGCCGAAATCGTCGAGCTCGACGCTCATGAGCAGCCTTCCGAGGCGATGCGGGCAAAGTGGAAAGGATACTCGAGGGCAGACCAGAAGGATCTCATCAACGGAGATGCTCTTGATGATCCCAGATCACCAGAGCAAGCTGAGAAATTCTGCGTTGCCGGAAAGATTTCAGTCGATCAACTCAAGGCCGCCTTTTCTCACATAAGTCCGAACGCAGTCGACACATCAAACCTTCAAGAGGTTCCACTACTCTACCATCTACTTCTGCCAGGTATGTATAATTACCTGACGACATTCTACTTTGCTGATTAGTTTAGGTCTTATTGTCGTTCCAAACCTGGTCCCTCCCGAAATTCAAAAGACCCTCCTTTCTCTCATGATCAACCGTGATCTCAGTGTCCCAACACATCAGACCAACCTTCACCTCCATTACGACATGCCTTATCCCAAGGCATCCGATGGGTCTCCAGAATCTTTCTTCTCATATCCGCCAGATCAGACACCACTGTTTACTCCGAAAGATGCCTCGGTCCACAAGCCCCTATCCATCAAGCAGGTAATGGAGCGTCGCCTGCACTGGGTCACTCTTGGCGGACAGTACGACTGGACGAACCGCATATACCCAGAAGACCTCCCACCCCAGTTCCCGTCCGACATCGCTCAGTTTCTCGAAGCCCTGTTTCCCGAAACGCTGGCGCAAGCCGCCATCGTCAACTTCTACACCCCGGGGGACACCATGATGATGCACCGCGACGTCAGCGAAGAGGTCGATAAGGGTCTGGTCAGCCTCAGCTTTGGCTGCGACGGGCTCTTTATGATTGCACCAAACGGTCCAGAAAATATCTCGGAAGAAGCCAAGGCTACTGGCAAGGAGTACCTGCTCCTGCGTTTGCGCTCTGGCGATGCCATTTACATGACCAAGGACTCGCGCTTCGCATGGCATGGCGTGCCCAAGGTGCTCAAGGGGACATGCCCGGACTACCTCGCCGACTGGCCTTCAGAGGATGGCAAGTATGAAGGCTGGAAGGGTTGGATGCAGAATAAAAGGATAAACCTAAACGTAAGGCAAATGAGGGACTGATGGAGCCGCATAGACGATGGATTTACGAGCGTTGGATTTCTCGTCCCTGTAAGATACCATATAGACTTCTGCTGCGTACTTGGGTATGGACGTCATGTGCCGTGTACTCTATGTGCTTCATGCGACCATGTTCCGTGATATTGTTGTCTGTATCGTGCCTCCAGTGACTTTCTGTCAGGGCGATCAGGTGAGAACTTGTCAGTTCCGCCAGGGATCGTCGCGCCAGTCGTCTGCAAAGAGCGACAACATCCAATGTGAGATGAACTTTATTCAAGACTGTCGTTCCTTCATCGTGAGACGCTCAATCAGTTAGTATCGCTCCCAAGCCGGTCAGGGGCAATCCATACATATAGTCATTCAAGACGTGATCAGTCAAGCGGAAGGAACCACCTGACGCCTCATAACAACTGTAACACAGAATATTTCAGGACAGAAGTAAATATACAAGCTAAAGCACGAGAAGGAACAGTAACAATCAATATACAGAACAAAAAATAGAAGCTAAGGGTCAAAAGAGTTCACCCACCGGTGTGGGCTAATCTCTGGTGCACATGCTGGGAATTTTCTCGCTCGGTATCGGTCGGTCGATCGGTAATTTTTGCCTGTCGTCGAGTAGGCTCGAACCCTTATCCTTCACACCACCCTCCTTGATCCTAGACCTCATACCATTGTGCCACCGGGCGAGGCGTCCCTCGCCCGGTGACGAAAGACTTGGTTCTGGACTTCCTGATAGAGGCCGTGTGTATGTTTACTGCTGTGAGGTGAGTATGCTTTGCTTTCTTCTCGCTTGCGGTGGAGCTGGTGCCTGAGGTGACCGGTAAAGGTGAGGCAACTCGACCTTGCCTCGTGATGCCTCCCCCTTGGGCCCCACACCCCAACCTCAGGTGAAGCCGCAAAAGCGCAAACGAGATGAGGCAATCCATCGTGAGTGTAGATTCCTTTTTCGTAAAGTGCGTATGGGTGAATAAAACTCTTGTGCTTCCTTCGTGAGATATGTGTTTGCTTACACTAACGCTCAACACCCTCAGCGTGTCTCCCTCTCGACGCCTCACGCCCACACCACGGCCAATTCCAACACCCACTTTGTAAATAAAGTAACCTCGTCGCTTCTCAATGTTTTACGAAGCAATAACACTGCACTTGCGACAATCGTATAAATATTCTAGGCACAACCGGCAATTAGCTGCACACGTGCATCACTGATGCTCAACCCCTTTACCCGCGAACTTCTGATCAACAACCCCACCAGGCCCTCTCGGCGTCATCGATATTTCCCCCCATATTATGATACACGATAAAGCCATTCATGAGACAATGCTTTTGCGTGAGTGGATGAATTTGTTTGGAAGTCGACACCAGTGGGGTTGCTTGTGGTATTTGGCAAGGCGTCCGACCCCTTATGCGCCTGAGAAGAGCTTGCCGATTTGCTCCTGCCTTATTCACGTTGTACATGAGATTTCAGGTAAAGTCCTCGAAATGTATAGTTTTACTTTCAATTTGAAAGGAATTTGCTGCCCGGGCGAACGCTACTTGCTAAACGAGTGGATAACTCAATTCTTCCTTATGTGACCACCGTGACTTGTTTTGGGCATCCTTCTTACAGTCCTTCTTACGGGACATCGAAAATCCTCCGGTAACCTTCTCACCTCACTTTTGGGGTTCTCATGGCTCGGAGACATAGGAGTTGCGCTGCAAGAGACCAAATTCGACAGCTCAATATGCAAAATATTTCTTCAGCGCTCAACTGCTTTAGCTCCATATATTGTCCAGATTTGACAACCAGCAGTAGAGGTACGGTAGCTAATCAAATAGCTATTGCTTACCATATTCTCACATGAGAATCGTCTACTCTCCAGCGTCGTGATGCCTTAGGTAGTGCTCCATACGGCTCAGAAGTTTACTTTCGTGTTTACAGAGCAATCACACACATTGTTACAAACACATGGGGTTGATAACCCAAGGGTTTTCTCAAGACCGCTCATAACCGCGCCGCAGTACTGAAATTGATGATTTCAGCTTGAACTTAGCTGTGTTATCTGAGCATCACGTGCCATTTGTAAAGTGAATGGTTTTATTTTGCCTACTACCGCAAATCGACCATGAACGGCCAAGAATATTAGCCTGCATGTCGGGCTTAAATGGCATGTATCTGATGCTAAGTCATGTGCTTGTATCGAAGCAGAGAAGCCTCGCCAGAAATTTGTAGTCCTCCCTTCGATGTTTGGGCTGTTTACTGGGTGACCCTGAGACGGGCACGAGGTGATTCTCAGCTATCTCATGCGTCGCACATGTAGCTGGCCATGCGCTTACATCCACTTTACTTGATTCAAGTCGCGTGGCTGCCGACACCTCTGGATTCCCGTTTTCTGGGATGACTATCTTGCCGGGCCCATGACTGCTTGCGCATGAACCCTAGCCTCTACACCAAAGCCCGAAAGAAACATATTGAAGTCGAAAGTCTCCGATCGCCCGGCTCGAACAACTCAAATGAACTGTAACTATTCTGGTCGACTGGTAGAACACACGGGGCGGCAATCGAGGCAAATTCCACAGCTCACTTGTGGTGAGATGGTGAGGTCTCAACACCACCACAAACCAAAACCGTCCGTGGCGATGTCAATCAACAGTGTCGCTTGAATAACGAAATCCCATGCCAGGGCCGTTTCCTTGATTTTGTTTGCTGGTGAAAGAGCTTCTGCCTGGGGTCTAGTCGGACTGAGCTTAGTTGAGTTGATGAGTAGGGCCTTTTGGTTCGCACTGCGCCTCACCCCAGCCCCTTTTCTGGCCCCGTTGCGGGGAGGGCAACCAGCACATGGGAAGATCGATCTGTGGCACCGAGAAATTATCAGATGGATATTTCGTATCCATGACATGCTCGCGTCGGATGTTTTGAAACTGGAAGCCAGGGGAAACCTCGTTTCGTGAGAATGAGTTCCTGCAGTCGATCTGCCTTGCTTGGAGCCCCGAGGCCCGACCAATTTCGATTTCGTGGAGACTCGAACAAGCTTCAATTCTATTCCAAGGATCACTGGGTTTCAAACGCATCAAGGCATACCGATATTACTAAACTTGAGCAGTCAGCCTTGGTCTTCAATGGGTCATCCAGGATCCCAACACACCTGTGTTGTCCGCGAAGCTTACCAGTGGCGCCTTGGCTTCTCCACGATCATTGCAAATCCTGGTTGAACACGAGCCAGGCGTCAACGACGAAACCTTTGCAGAGATCCCTAGCGCCCAAAACACCACAGAACAGACATCACGAGTCTACAAGGGGGCAGTGTCACTAGCTTATGAACGGAACAGGGACCATCGTGTACATACGGTACCGCAACGAAAACGGCCTCATGTGGATTGAATCTAGACTATGCATACGGTACCCTTGCACCAAGCCAAGGGCCTCATGCGGCTTGTCGGGTGCTCATCCCGAGGGTATCAACAATAGATGAACTTTGTACATGAAAGTAGAAAAAACACATCTCGGGAAGGATCACGGTCTGCCTCCTTACCGCCCATCTACTGGACAGTCAGACCGGCGTAGATGGGGTACGTGGCGTACTCCCAGGGGATGGCGTTCTGGAGAAGCTGGTAGTCGAAGCCTTCACCGCCACCGCTGACGTAGAGGAACTTGGTGAAGGCGGCCGAGGCGTAGTAGGTGAAGGGGGTGCTGGCGGGGACGAAGACGACGTCGCCCTGGATCAGGGTGACGGGGTCGTAGCCCTCAACGCCGACGACCAGGGCACCTTCCTCGAGCTGGAAGGCGACGGGCTGCTTCAGGTTCGCCTCGGTGGCGGTCTGGTTGGACAGCAGGGGGCTGATGGTAGCGGTTCCCATGGTGAAGTTGCCGGCGGTCTGGTTGCCGGTAGCGAAGGGGGCGATGAGGTGGTAGATGCCGCCGTCGGCGTTCAGGTACTTGGGCCCGCGGTTCTTGGCGATGAAGTTGGGTGTGACGGCGTCGGCGGCCAGCTCGTTGGCGGCGGTGTGCCAAGTCGACGCGCCGCCGGCGGTGCCGTTCACCAGGTCTCTGCGGGGGCTGTAGTCCAGCTGCGCGTAGACGTCAAATGCCTCGAGGGCAGAGATGAGGTCGGGGTTGGAGCCGGCAGAGCTGTTGGAGGTGGCGGGGACAAACTCGGAGCCGGTGGAGGAGTTGAACTCAGAGTTGGCGATGGCGACGAAGAGCTCCTCGAAGCCGCCGGGCTGGATGACGCCCGTGAGCTGGGTGTCCGGGTCGGTGATCTGAAACGTGTGGATGGTGTTGTGGGGCACCGCGCCGTAGTCGCCCGGGGTCAGGAGGCGGGCCTGCTCTCCGGACGAGTTGGTCTTGGCCCAGAGCTGGAACTGGCCCTTGGAGCAGTAGAAGTTCTCGTAGTGCGCCTTGTGGATGTGAGGAAGAACGCCCAGCTCGGTCGATCCGGGGGCGTTGGTCTGCATCAGAGTGAAGGCGCCGGCGGAGGCATTGCCGGTGACGGAGAAGCGGTAGACCTGGTCGCCAACCGAGACGGCGCGGCCAGCACCCTTGCGGAGGACGTAGGGCTGAGAAGTGTTGGGGGCTTGGTCGAGAACGAGGTCCTTGGACGTGCTGTTGGCCTTGGCAAAGGGGCCCTGGGGAGCTGCCGCCACAAGGGGGAGGCCAGCGGCGAGGGTCGCGATGAACTTCATGTTGGCGATTTGGACTCAGACTCGGGTGGGTTCGAACGGTTAGCGAGAGACTTTGAGCGAGAGAATGGATCGACGACGACTGAGGTTGAGGATCTCACAAGCACCCGAATCGCGAACGATAGGGCTTATAAAGGGGAAAAGACAACTGCCACGGGATGTGGCCGGACTATACACAATTCGCTCGGAGTCCGAGCCGCTTCTTCCCAGCTCCATAACGAAAGGAGGCGCCCGTCGAGTGTAACCCTGGCAGCAGATGTTGCTTGTTTCCACGCTCAAGGCCGTCGCGGACGTCGAGACCGCGTCTGTTCCCTTCCAAGGCCCCGCTGACTAACATGTTTCTTGATGCAAAGCCTTCCGTTGCCCACCAAAACGGTCCCGTTTCGTAGCCATCGGCCCGCTGTTCGTCCCATTCTGAAGATAGAGATCACAGGGGTGACGGGAATCTAGCATGACGTGAACCAGGGCATAGATGAGCCGAAGATCGCCGCGGCGAATAGGGACCGAAGTTCAGACCGAATGGAACTCCATTCTGGAAGGGATGTTGTCTGTAGGACGGCACATCATGGTGATGAGAAGGAGTTGGTTTCCACTCGGTTGACGTACGCTGCGGCGGAAATCCCGGACTTCCTAGTCATTCGTGTTATTGATGCCCTCCTTTTGCTGGATCCACACCGGGAATTCCGGGTCTGCTGCCACAGCGATGAATCGTCCATGAATTAAATGGTTGGATTTTCGCCCCGTCGTATCGGCGGTCGCGAGCGCCGAGCGCGGAATCGGCTGTTGATGTTCGATGTAAGGAAGGTCGCGGTGACCCCTGCGTCACACTTCCACCCGATGCATCTCTTAGCATCAGCAACTGCACTCACATGGGATGACCTTCTCAATCGGTGCAACATCCGTTGATGATCACAGACAACATCCTATTGTGAAGAAACGTAAAGTAGAAACCATTCATGGACTGATGCTTTGGTGTAGCTGCATCTCTGCGGCGCAAAATGGACGATTCTGGTCAGCGGGCAGGACTGATGGAAACCCCACAAAAGCTCCCTCGTAGCTCGTGGCTCATCGATAGGCGATGGCTGTCATGCCCTACCGGTGGTTTCTCGAGATATCTCAATTGCGAAAAGGCGATCCTTGGTGGGAATTGTGATTCTCGCCTTCCCTTCAACGGCCGTTCATTATGATCATGGCGATGAATGCGTCCATGATCAACCGTGTGGAAGTCCGGTGCGAGACACTGCTCTGCGCCCTGCTAAAGGATTCCGTATAACTGATTCTCACTTCTTTCACTTCTTCCTCAGAAAGCGGCCGCATGACGCAAAACCCTCTCAGACCTCATGAACTAGACTGGCTAGCGGAATCCATCATGAGCCTGGTGTTGTGGCTGCGCATACAAGTGGTGTTTTTCTCACTCCAGTCAGCTACCAAGAAGTCGCGGGGTCGCGTGTGTCAAATACGATGCGGCCTCTCTGATAGATGAATGTCAAGACCGTCCGGTGGCTGTGACTGTAGCGAGATGGAACCACCCAATAGCCATGCTTCTAGCGCAGCCATGAGCCTTGCTGCCTGGTAGTGCGTTCGATGAGGCCGCTTGAAAACCGATGAATCGGTCTAGACGACCTAGCAGGGGTGCGTGGAAGAGTTTCCAGTTTCCTGGGAACCATCTGTACCCCGGGTATTTGTACAGAGCCTCATTGTGGCTGCCATGCGGAAAGCCCCTGGCAGATGGCTTGGTCTCCGGACTGGGCCCTGTGAGTTGTGGTCATGGCATGGCGGCGATGAGTGACAGGGAAGCGAGTGAGTGTGGCCGTGGATGACACGAGACCTTTGAAGACTCATACGGCAGGGAGAGAGCTGGCAAAGCGGCGACGCCGGTTTGGGTTTTGCGGTTTGTTGTTTGCTGATATACGAAACAAAAAGCCTATTACATCTCCAAACGGCATCCAAACGGCTGTGATATGAAGCCGAAAGCGTCAAGTCGTAAAAGCGTTTGCCGGTGAAAGTGAGATGAGATAGTTACGTGCCGCTTTGGCGATGCAAAGAAATGCCAAGAAAGAAATGATCTGGCATTGGCCAGCGATTGAAATCCCTCCCTCTCTTTGCCCTACCTACCGGCAAGTGACACTTGTGACATGGGAAAGATAGAGCGAATGAGAAAAGCCTTCCTATCAGCCCAATGGCCGCGCCTAATTTATGTAATCGACGCTAGACCACATGGGGTAATAGGCGCTTAGTACCAGGCAGTAGCCCCTCCTTCTGCCGGCTCCCCAGCCTGCTCACTTTCAGTCCCACCGCAGCTCTTTCCAGCCCCGAACGGCCTACAAACGACGAGCCTGCCGACGGTTCTACCTAGCCTGCATTGCGAAGAGACAACCGGACCTAGTCATTGGACCGGGCTGCGGTTGCCTCAGAAGTTCCATCAGTTGGCTGATGTTGGCTTCAGTTACTGCCAATTTTAAGGCGCGCGCTCTAGCTTGGCTGACCAGCTGCAGACCTCTCCAACGTGTACTCATTTCTCTTTCGTTAGGTACTTTTCCAATTCACTGTACCTTTCTCCCTCCACCTCATTCACTGCCTTGCCCTACTCACTCCATTGCGCCGTTTCTTTGACCATCAAGACTAGCGACTCACTCTTTTTCCACTTGCTGTACTTGCCATGAGGGTCGAGACAGGGGACAGCCAAAAGAGATAATTGAATGCATTGCCCTGCGACCGTAGCCCATGTGCGACACAGAGACAATTAAAGGCTTCATTCATTGCGACAAAGCGCTTTGGTGATCGTTACCGCCGCACTGATACCGCTCGCTCAAAAGACCTCATAAAGAGCTTTCATCAAGTTTATTTTCGACCTTCATCAAAATTAATGGGGAGCCTATGCTCAAACATTGGAAAGGACGATGCGCCTGGCGAAAAAGATGCTCAGGGTAGAAGGGACAGCACCACACTCACACGACACTCCTCTAAACGTTTACAGAAGAAACTCTCCAACCACCGCCGTCGCCACCAATCCGCACTCACACCCGACATCCTACCCAGTCATCAAGCAGACATGAGAATGGCCCAGGAAATGATTGATGCCCATGATAGAGTCATTGACGGCACCGGCAACGGCCACGTCGGCCACGGCCAGAAGGGTCGCCGGACCACCGTCCTCGATCAGCCCCGCCCGAGGACGAGAGCCGTCTCCTCCGCCGCCGCTGCCGAGATGGACGTCGACGAGTACCTGCGCCAGAGAAACGAGATCCAGCGTCGCGAGGCCACCCTCTCATTTGACTTCAAAGCCACCGTCCAGGCCTCGCTCAAGGAGCGGAACGCAAATGCCATCATCCAGAAGCTCAAGGCAGACGACCAGCGCGTTACTTATGACGCGGCTGACGCAAGGCTGGGGTGGGGGGGTCAGAAACACCCTCGATTCCCGGCCGACCACTTTCTTTCCAACCTGGACCAGATCAAAAAGACCAAGCTGTTCGAGGTCGCATGCGCGATGCCAAAGGGAGCACATCTCCATATTCATTTCAATGCTTGCCTAGAGCCCTCGGTACTCTTAAACTACGCCAAGGACATGGACCGCATGTTCATAAGCAGCGATATTTCCTTGGCGCCGCCCGCTGAAGATGAAGATGATGGTGCAAAGAAGGACGACGCCCTCGACCGCTGCAAAATTCAATTTTCCATCATCGCGCCCTCAAAAGAGAAACTAGGAGATATTTTCTCCCCTGAATATGACTGCCCGGACAGCAAGAACCGACTGTGGTACAAGTATTCTCAGTTCCTCAGTGAATTCCCAAGGCTCCATGGCCGCGATGCCCAGAAGTGGCTCGAGAGTAAAGTGGTTTTCCATGAAGAAGAAGCGCATGGCTATCTTCAAACGGTTCAGGGGTAATTGCACCCCTATCTGTGTGGGGTTGATGATGCTAACAGGAGTGAACAGGGCATGGGACAAGTTCAATACCCGCACCCAAATGATGAAGGGTCTGTTCAACTACGAAACGGCCTATCGTAAATATACCAAAGCCCTCCTCGAGGACTTTGTACGTGATAAAATTCAGTATGCTGAGATTCGCCCAAATTTCATGGCGGCGAACAACCTGTGGACCGACGACGGCACAGAGCAAATCGACAACGAGGGCATCATGAAGCTCATCATTGACGAGTACCGCAAGTTTCAGGCCGGCAATGACAAGTATTTTGGCGGCATGAAGATTATCTACTGCACGCCTCGGTCTTTGAGTAATACGCTGGTTAAAGCCGCGCTGGCAGAGTGTCTGAAATTCAAAAAGATGTGGCCTGAGTGGGTGGCTGGTAAGTCTACAACTCTTATGTCGACAAGCACTCGATACTGACGAAGCAGGATTCGATTTGGTTGGCGAAGAGTCAAAGGGGCGGCCTCTCAAGGATTTTATCCCCGAGTTCCTCGAGTTCAAAAAGGACTGCGGAGACATCGACATCCCCTTCCTCTTCCACTGCGGAGAGACGCTCGATATTGGCAACGACACCGACGGCAACATCGTGGACGCGCTCTTGCTCGGCTCTAAGCGCATCGGCCACGGGTTCTCCCTGGCCAGACATCCTTACATTATGGAGCACATGAAGAAGAGGGGGGTCTGCCTCGAGGTGTGCCCGATCTCAAATGAGGAGCTTGGCCTGACGCCGAGGATCTCGGGGCACGCCATGTACAACCTCCTCGCGAACAATGTGCATTGCACTTTGAACTCGGACAACGGAACAATATTCAGGTATTTAGTCTCGCGACGGGCTTAGAAGACACCCAGCTGACAACACCACAGATCGAGCCTCTCGCATGACTTCTACCAGGCCATGGTGGGAAAGACGGACATGACACTGCACGGCTGGAGGCAGCTCATCGAATGGAGCCTGGAGCACTCTTGCATGGACAAGCACGAGCGCGCGGCGGTGACCGAGGAGTGGAAGAAGCTGTGGGACGCGTTCCTCGACTGGATTATCAAGACGCACGGGAGCGATGCCGCTGAGCCCAAGGAAGAGAAGCTGAACGCATCGGCTTGAGACATGCTCTACTCTGATTCTTTGCTTTCAACATTTAGAGATACCAAGGGTGAAGCCTAGGACTTGATGAGACGACTTTTGACGATGTTTATGAAAAAGAAAAGAGGGCGTTTTCATTTGCCGAGGGTACTGGTACTTGGTGATTCATGCGCGGTACTTCTCTCTTAGTTGAAGTGTAAGAAGCGTTGAGGCTGTGAGGTACCACTGGAAAAGGCAGTTCCGTACTCTTGAAGGAACGAACCTTACCCTTCTGACACAAGCCGCAGTCGAGGCAGAACGTTGAAGACATCAATAGGCTCACTCAGCTCTCGTGGCCTTTCATGTCTCGAAGGGTGATGTGCACAAGTCTCGGTTCCGTTCTATCTGCATGAATGTTGCTGGAGGGCGAAACTTATCTAACCAGGATTCCATTTTCACCTGCAGGTACAGCTAGTGTCCTATCGTGAATTATAACAACAGCTCGCTCATTGGAATTATCTACAACCATCACCCAGTCATCGCCCGTAGAATACTATGTACCGTAATCCTACATCCAAGACCCGAGTCATAACATCGTTAATCATACACCTACTACCCCTAATTCTGGGTATTTAACCCCAGCATGACCAGGTTCGACACGACCATCACCGTAATCACCAACCAAATCACAACCGCAACGACGCTGACGTACCACGAGTTCGCCATCTTCACGCCCACGGTGCTGAACCTCCGCGCCGGCACGACGCCGGTGTCGCTGCCGTAGCTCGCTGCGCCGGGGACGACCGTCATGTACTTGTTGAAGCTCGTAAAGTATATCAGCGGCGCCGTGATGACGGGCAGCACCGTGCCGAGCACCACCTGCGTGCCGTTCAGCGCGTTGCTCAGCCCCTGCTGCCCGGCCAGGGCGCAGATCACGGCCGCGGGCGTGACGCTGATGACGCGCGTGACGAGGCGCCGCAGCCAGGGCTTCATGCGCCAGTTGAGCGCGCCCTCGCTGACGAGCTGGCCGGCGATGGTGCACACCAGGCCCGCCGAGACGCCCGAGAGCAGCAGCGCGAAGGCGAAGATGACGCCTGCGGCGGAGGAGATGCTGTTCGCGAGGAGGTCGTGCATGCCGAAGATGTCCGAGGCGAGGCTTGTCTGGCCCTGGTAGAGGGAGGCGCCGGCCACGATGAGGATGGCCGAGTTGACGAACAGGGCGAACGTGAAGAGCGAGAAGGTGATTTCGGCGATGGAGAACTTCATGCAGTGCTTGATCGCGGCCATGGAGGGGAAGTAGAAGACCTTTTGGACGCTGTCGACGGTCGTCATCGTGTCGGAGCGGGGGAGTTCCTGGAGGTTGCCTTCTTTCATGTCAAAGTCTTTGAGGCGGGACTGGACGACGCCGGAGCCTAGGTGTAAGCTGTGCGGCATGACTGTTGCACCGAGGATGCCGCAGGATTGATACAATCTGGCCGAGTTAGCAAAGGGAAAAGCGTAATATGTGTGATAGTTCTCACCCCTGAGTCTGAATGATGGAGCCAGAAGGAAGGTAGCCGCGGAAGACCTGTCCGACAGTGGTGTTTTGGATGAGCGAGAGCTGAATGCAGAAGCAGACGACGACGCCTAGCACCAAGAAACAGACGCCAATCTCAAAGAGCCGCAGACCACGCATGGAGCCGTCTGGGCGGTAAAATATCACGATGAACACAACGTCTAGGAGTGTCAGGATAACGCAGGCGAGGAGCGGTAGCTTGGGGATGAGGAGATGTAATGCGGTGGCGGTACCGATGACCACCGCCATATCCGTCGCGATGATGCCAATCTCCGCGAGGGCGTAGACAATGATGTTCATCCATCTCGGGAGAAACACACGGCTAGCGGTGGCCAAGTCAAGACCGGTGATGGTGCCGAGTTTGATGGCGAGACTCTGGAGAAAGATGGCAATAAGGTTGCTCACGAGGACGATGAACAAGAGATCAAAGTGGTAGGATGCTCCGGCTGAGATGTCGGTTGCGTAGTTTCCGGGATCAACTGCAGATTGTAAGCTTGGCTGCGTTCCGTGATTCTTTCAAGTAACATACTGTATGTGACGGCAATCATGAACCCTGGCCCAACGAACTTGCCAAAAACGACGAGGTCACTCCATCTTCGATTGAACCAACCCGGCCTCTTCTTGTTGTAGGAGTGGCTTGGCAAAGGAAGCGTGGGGCCCGACAGGAGGGCCACTGGCTCAAAGTCTATCCTCGACTCCTTCCCTAATGGCGTGTCGAGCTTGAACGTGCTCTCCGACGGCCCCGGTGTTGCGGGAATGGTATCGAGGCGGACAAAATCTGGCGGAATCTCTATCGTCAGCCGCCTCGAGCGGCGGCGGTCAGTGTGTGAACTCGAGCGGCGACGATCCGTATGTGACAGCCCATGCAGGGTCTGGTCGATTGTGTAGTCCGCTGTGAAGGGGTTCGCGCTGCTCCTGCGCGAGTTGCTCCCATGCTGGGGCTCTTCTAGCCAGGCGGGCGTCATCGTATTCCGGGCAGCAACGATATCAGACGTGCGGATTCTCGAAGCTGTCGAACATCAGTTCCGTCGAGAGGGCCCGAGGTGTTAATCCTGCAAGACTCACAGTCAACATGGGCGACAGCGAGCGTACGGCGTTAGATGCCCCTCGGCAACATCAGGGAACAGACAAAACGGAAAAAAGAAAGGGAGACAAAAGCCGGCCGATCCAGGCGGAAGGACTGGAGGCCAAGTAGTTTTGTCAGGTCAAGGACTCGCCGGCTGAAAGCATCACCTCAAACAACTCGACTTCCTTCACAACGGTAGGGCATGCCGAATGCGGCCGTTGCGAGAAACCGGCCTCCTCCGTTTGAGACATATCCCTCGTCATAGGCAAGCCGCGGTTGAAGCGTGTCCGGCCCAGTGGGACGCCCCGAAACAGGGCCATGGAATGATGGAGAGTGTGACTGGCTCTCCATGTTCAGACAATCAATCTCAAGGGTCCTTCTTGGCTAGAGTGAAGTCGGGCGAGACCGTGAGCGAGTTGCCTTCGAGAAAGACGGCCGCCCACTAGTGGCCAGGGCATGGCTTCTGGACCGGAAATGCCTGAGACCCGGCCGCCGGGTTCGGAATAGCGAACGCAGATGGCACATGCTAGAGGCAATCAGCATGGCAAAAAAACTGCAATTACGGCATGGCTTGCAAGATTCAGTATGAGAGTGGCTAGAGAGTGTGGTACGGGTTTGTGGCGTGAAGAAAGGCGCGCAGCCCTCTTTTTTGTCAAGTAATTTTGTATTTGCTGGGTCGGCCTCTAGGTTCGGCCTGACTAGAAGCGAAGTTCTTCGTCCTTTTATGAACGCTATTCACCAGCCGCTCTCTGTTGAAGGCTGATCTCTTGTTCTTGGCGGGCCGTTTTTGGCTTGACTTGATTCTGGCCGGCACATTGGGACGGTCAGCAGCTCACCGGGCTGACCTGGCTCACCGGGACCCATCTCGTCTATGTTTTCCCCGGGCGGGCCCCTGTCTCCGTGTCTCCGTACACCCATGTCACTCCGGCCTGACGTTCGGCCCCGAACCAGAGCGACGGTGCAGATTTATGGGGGTTGCTGTTGAAGCTTTGCGGGCCTCTATTCACGCATTCACCTGATCTTCTTGGTCTCCTTTCCGGCGGCACGCTCGCGGTCTCTCTTGGCGTAGATGCCAGCCGTGAAGGGGTTTTCGTAGCTCAGGGCAATCTTGTAGACGATGAAGACCCACACGGTCAACAGGATGCCGGCGGGCTTGCCGTAGATGAGGGCGGCGCCGAGGAAGCTCATGGTGGAGCCGTTGTACATGGGAGCGTCGGTGATGTTGAACGGGAAGCCAGTCACAATGCTGTCCATCAGGATGCCAAAGTAGTCACCGAGGAACGTGCCGGTGATGCCCAGCTGCCACGTCGAGGAGAGAACGAGCACATTGCCGCACGCGACGAGGGCGTACCCGGCATAGGTCACTGCGTCGGACGCGAGCAACGGGTGTGAGGGCTGGAAGCGCAAGGCCCGCTCGTAGAGAAGATCACGGAAGATTCCGAGCGAAAAGATCGTGATTGCCAGACCATAGCATGCAATCTGGGAGCGTCCGCCAAAGAGCTTGGTCAGGAGCTTGTTGTTGTACTCTGGTTCGGTTAGATGGGGTCACTCGGAGGCGGAGCCGGCGCAACGAACCTTGTCTCGCGACGATGCTATGCACTTGTCAGCCAACAATTTTACGGCAGACCAAGGGACAGTCGACTTACTTCCAGAACAGAGGATTGAAGGCAATAGCAGCAGCAGAGACTATCCGGCGCGGTCAGCAGAGTCGACGAAGATGTGAGCTCCAGAGGCCCAAGCTCCACTGAGACGACATGACGTACTGAACAAGCTCTTCTGGTCAAAGTCGACCACCGCCTTAGGTTCAATGTCGACAGGCGCCATGGTTTAGGATCTGAATCAGGGGAAAACCTGGAGGTAAATGGCTGAACTGGTCGAATTCTGGCTGAGCAAAAATCGTGGGAAAAACCGTTGAGAACAGTTGTAGGTTCTGAGTGCGCATTTGCTTGTGACAGAGTTCAGCTCCACCAGTATTTATGTCGGCGGGGACACCTGGCCATAGCGTCGCATCATTACGCAGTAGTGAGTGCACAAGTGCATGGGGTTGCTTTTCTTCGCTGGGGTTTTGGTGGCCTTGGAGGCATGGGGTACGGCCAACCTCCCCTCCCCGCCGTAGCCGATACTTACCGGACGCTGTAAACGGGGGCAAGGCAGAACAGCTAGGCCCCAGTTGTTTCCCTCAAGGCAATGCACCCGAGCTCGCGGAGAAAAGAGGCCTGGGCGGAAATACCGAAAGGCCGGTAGAGGACACACACACAAAGTCTTCAAAGGCGAGCAAAGAAACAAATGTTGAGTCTAATATGACATGGCGCCGTCGCTAAATCGCAATGGGTATCAACCGCAACCTCAAAATATCCGACAGAGAACCACCCCGTCGGAGCAAGCCAACAACAATGCCTGGGCACAATTCACCTGCGATTCCTAGTCTTCTTGGCCACTGTGCCCGTGTCTTCCTCTTCGTCGTCCTGGCCCTTCTTGAGGTCTTCGGTCAAGCCCCATTCCTCCTTGTCGTACCAGTCCTCGCCGTCCGACATGTCCCTGTTCGGCCCGCTGTGCGCCTCCGCCTTGGACCATGCCAGCACCGTTTTGCGCAGGCGATTGGCCTTGAGAAGGCCTTCGTGAAGCTTTGTCGTTCCACGGCAGATTTCCTCCTGCTTCTGCACGTACAGCGCGAGCAACCGGCGGATATCCTCGGCTTCGGGGTCCGGTAGACCCACATCTCGGTCTGGACGGACGTTGGGAGGCGGCCGGAAGAATGGGTGAACAAAGGTTTCTTCCATCTGGTCTGACAATATTGACGGCGCAGTTGTGCCGTTGCCGCCGGCCTGAACTGTGCCGTGGGGAGATGGAGGAGCTGCGCTCGCGTGTCGCATCTCTACGTCGGTAGCCTTTTGCTTCTGCTTCTTGTCGACAGTGGCCTCCTCTCCCTCTTTTGTAGGGGTTGATGATTCCCCGTTGGTAGGCTTCGATGTGTCGCCCTCCGCTTTGGCACCATCCTTTGCGGATTTGTCCGGCAGTGGTTTGCGGCCTTCCGGCTTGTCTGACGCGGCGTCAGTCATTGTGACGTCCCCGTCCCCGCTGTCTTTGTCGCCCGAGGGCTCCCCATTTGTGCCGTTCGGCGCTTGTCCTGGGATCGCGTCGCCGTTCAGTGTCGCTGGTGAGACCTCTGACTTTTCGGGAAGGACTTTCATGCCGCGCAAATACTCGCGCTCCAGGTATTCGGACGAGTAGAGCTCCACATCGTCCGGCGCCACCATCATGCCACACGGCACCCAGGTGAAGTCGCCGCATAGTCTTGTGTAGAGGTGCTTGACCTTCCAAAGCGACCTGTTCTCCTTGCGCCGGACTTCGCAGCCCTGGTCGGTAATCTCGTTCAGGGTCTTGGCGGTGAATGGTTTCGAGAGGGTGGGATGGGTCGGGAGGTCGGTCGACGCGGTCAATGGGGCGAGAATCTCTGGGCAGGGTCAGTGGAGTCTCTACGGTGTCGACAGAGCATACTAACGTTCGATGCGAATATTGGCATAGGGGTCGAGTTCTGTGGCGGAAGCGACAGCTTCTTGAATGCGCTCCTCGTCATCGTCGCTGTCAATCTCGTAGCCCTCGTCGTCGACAATCGGGGGATTGCGACTGATTATTGTCCGCTGCTGCCCAGCGTAGTCGATCACCTGTGGTTGTCAGCACCGCTTCGCCCGCCCAAGGGGGGGCGCGACGCACCTCGCTGTAGACTTCGGGGCCAGTGGGAGGCACCAGCTGGCCTTGGTGAGAGAAGAGGGCTCGCTTCTTAAGCTTGTGGCCGCGGTTCCCGTAGTGGTCAATCTCGTCGTCAGAATCGGATTCTGGGGGCTAGTCGTCAGAACGTTACGTCGACAGTGAAGGGCGTCAGAGTGTGTTCGGTCGCGTACCGTAAGCTTTGCGTTTGAGGGCCTTTTTCATAGCGGCCACGGTCTCGGCGAAGAGGATCTGTTGTGTCGCCATTGCGCCGTTGTGCGTCTGCACCTGGTGATGAGCCCAGAGCGATCACGGAGGTCGGTCGGCAGCGAAGACGAGAGGGCCCGTCTTTGGAGAGGGTTCTGGAGTGATGGGAGTAAAATACTCAGTAGAATGCGGTCGGGATGCGATTCGGATCGGAGGACGGTCGAAAGGGAGGCATTTACGTGCTTGAACAACGTGGTGGTGTGGTGTGGGAGAGATGTAGGACGAGTAGCCCTCAATTTCTGCGCGCAGTCTCTGTGACGAGGCGGGAGGAGAATCACGCGGGCGGCAAGGCTGGCCGTCTGCGCTGCGAGAACCAGTTTCCCATTCCTTCAGGGCACTCTGGGCCCATACACCATGACCGCATCTGGGGCAGTGGCCAATCAGCGACCTCGCTGTCGGCACCCATTTTTCCCGATCCCGAGGTGGTGTGGCCCGGTTGGCACCCGCCTGGGCTCAGCGCTCTCCCAGGGGTCCCGCCTGCTGTGAAGTCACTGGGCACGGTGGGCCGGGATCGCTGATTCTGGCTCTGGCGCTGGAATGGAGCTGCGATACCTGTGACAGAGTACTTTACCTCCCGTGCCACCAGAAGAGGACCCATGCCGCGATTCGCAACTGAACGGGGAAGCTTTCTTTTGCGCCCAACCTGCTGCTTTGTCTTGTTCGTCCACTCCAAACGTCCAAATCTCGGCCCAGCGACAATGCTCCCTTGAGTCTGTCACTGTACATCCCGCACCGAGGCACCATCGAGCGCTACTGCTGACCCGCGCCAGAGCTTCCGCGACGATCTCCAAGTACCCCTCGATATCCATATCTCGACTGCCCCCTCCTATGAAGACATAGGACCACCAGGAAAATGGACGGATATCCGGTTGGAAGCCTGGACCATAACATCCCACACATTGTTCTCGCCGGCTTGACCTCGGCCCCGGCCAAAGAACTACCACTGACCGCCGAGCTCCGCGACCAGGCGATTTTGCTGCGATCTGAGCTGCCGAGCCTCGAGACCCCAGATGCCGAATCACTGAGGGACTACATTGTGCGCCAGGACGGGAGGAACCAGCCATGGAACGGCAGAGACAGCGGGAAGCCGTACAAGCTTCGGGTCACCGTCGCTGGTCGGGTACGGCTTACACCGTTCAAATGTGTCCTCTAGACTAACCCTGGGCAGTCCTTCGTCCTTCCTCCACGCCGAGCGAGGCTTCCTGAGGGTATCGAGGCACCCGAGGGCGTTCCCGTCTTGCACTCGCCCTTCTCGCCCCTGACTCCGGTCTCACCTTTGTACCCAGACGGACTTATGAACACCGAATGGTTGCAGAAGCACGAGGACATGGTGCCCAGTGTCTACGTTTCTTTCTACACCCTCACTTCTGACCCGACGCTTGCGACACTCCACGATAACCAACTAAAGACCGACATCAACAACTTGAAGGCCGCCCTTGGTAAGTCAGGCTATAGGACGCGCCTCGCCGTCGTGCTTCTGTCCGACGGCACGGCCTCTTCTTCCATGGTAGACCTCGTTCAAGACCGGCTGGACAACATTCGGAAGGGTGTCGCATTGGATACAAAGACGTTTTTCTATCTATCACCAGGCGACCTGTCCATCGACCTTGAGCACACGGCGGATTCCATGCTAGCCGCAGTGTTTCTGCAAGCCCTAGAATACTACAGAGACCTTGGCCGTCACGCGCGGAAGAAGCGCGGTCGTGGAATAGCGCCGCAGCCCACGGTGCCCCCTACGAGCACCTCGCAAACACTCTCAGTCCAGGACTGGAACGTGAGGTATGATTTCAAGACGGGCATTTTCGCAGAGTTCCGCCAAGAGATGGATGCGGCCCTGCGCTCGTACGATCAAGCCTATGAGGAGCTCTTGAGCCAGGACGTGATGGATATCATTCCAAGTTGGAGCCCACGCTGGAACGAAGCTCGCATGCTCGCTGACACCATTGCGATACGCGGCATACGCTGTGTGCTCTGGGGCGCACAAACCACGTCTGCTGTGCGGCGATGGCAAATGCACCGTGATAGGATAGCCGACTTTGTAGATCGCCGAGGGCGCGGGACAAACAACTACGGCTGGGAGGCATGGGAGTCGAGGTGGGCTGTTGTCATGGCAAACCTAATCGAAAGGGTAGATGTGCGCAGTCTCGCGCCGTCTACAAAGACCCTGTATCTCCAACCGGAAAAGGCCGCCGCGGTGGACAAGCTTCAACCGTGGGATATGCTGCATCATACGGGATATTGGTACCGCACTGCTGCAGAGCATCTCGCTGCTCGACGTCGCCTGGCTCGCTCGATCCCTGAATCGGATCGCCGCTCACCAGACACCACTCCAGCATCAGCAGTTGCTAGCAAAGCCTTTACTTACGACACGTACATGTGTCCTGATCCCCATGAAGAGTTTCCCCTCCAAGGGATGGGTGTAAACCACTCCCAGCTCATCATTGATCTTTTGATGGCGGCAAGGTCTCAGTTCCAGGCAAGGAGGCAGCACCGGATATCGGCAGAGCTGTCGCTGGAGTGTGCAAAGGAGATGGTGAACCTCAAGGCGTGGAAAGACATTGTCACAATACTCAGACCGCTATGGGAAGACATGTCGTTCCGGGAAGAGGGCTGGACGAACATCGCAGAGGATCTCAGCTGGGTGCTTCGGGCTGCCGCTGCGCACACTGGGAATGCAGAGCTCGTGGTTGCCATTGACTGGGAGCTGATGAACAAGAGTAAGTTGCTCAATTATGTCGGCCTTCTCGATCTGACTCGTCGCAGGATTTACGCGGCGCCCCAAGTGGCATTACGACATTTCGAGATCGCTGGAGGGTTTGTCCATTGAGTCAAAGCCCACGGTGACAATCAACGACGACATATCATCCTTCATCTCCGCGTCGTTCATCTTCAAGGGCGAGGACGGCAAGGCCGGCGAGACTTGTCAAGCTCAACTGGCAATCAAGTCGGATGCCTTCTCAGATGCAGCGCCCATCACTCTGAAAGGGCTGCGAGTCGACTTTGAGGGCAGCCTGAAAACCATCACTCTAGACCACGCAGCTGAGTCCGACGCGACTACAGCGAAGGGCGCCGTTTCCTTGTCGAATGTTCCATTGAAAGAAACCGCTCGCGCTGGAGAAGACGAAGAGGGGGCATCAGTTCTCAGCGGATCTGCCAATCTTACCATCGTGCCTGGCTCTACCAACGTCTATGAAATGGCAATCCCACTGCGAGAACCCGGTGAGGCTCGAGCTGATTCCGTTACTTTACTCCTGGAAACGGACGCGTTCCGCCTAGACTACACTGTCGATTTCCGAGATCTCGGCGCAGCGGACTTTTGGTTCAGCCCGTCTCTCGCGAGGAGAAGAATTGTACGCCAGAGCGCGCACATCATTCAAGTACAACCCCGACCACCAAAAATGGAAATCAAGCTCGCGAAACCATTGGACCAGTTCTACGCAAACGAGCCGATGGAGCTTCTCCTCGACGTCTTCAACGCTGAAGACGAGGAGGCTGTTGCTAAGCTCGAGGTCCATGTTTTTGGCGAGCAGATCCCGGCCTTCCGAGTCCAGGCCGCCGACCAAGACGAACACATGGCGGAAGCTGGTCAAGAAGAAGCCAAACTTACGGGTCTGCCGCTCGGCACGCTGGGAATATCGCAACCAACTCGTGTCAAGGTCTCGCTCGATCCCATACAGCTGACAACGTCGTATGACGTGACCCTCAGAGTCTTTTACCATCTCGTTTCCGATCCGGCAACACTGGTTATGCAAATCCTGCCTGTCCAACTGAACGTGGTCAACCCTTTTGAAGCAAACTACGACCTCATTCCCCGCCTCCACCCCGACCCCTGGCCCTCCCTCTTCGACCACGAAGGCGTTCAGGATCCAAACATTACTGACGACGCCGCAATCCAGCCCCGAGGCCTGGCCCAAAAGTGGTGCCTGATGTGCCACTTTGCATCTTTTGCCTCCGAAGACCTCGAAATCATCAGCATGGACGCGGAGGTCCTCTCCTGCCAGAATAATGCCCGCTGCACAACAGTTTCCCGCCCAGAGATAGCCGCAGATGGTCTCCGCATAGCACCAAAGCAAATGCAAGAGGCACAGTTCAATCTGGTGGCTCATAAGTACAGCCTCGACGACCGGGGGCCGGCCTCGCTAGACCTCGCGTTTGTTCTCAAATGGCGCCGCACATCATCGACTTCGTCGACCGTCAACACCACGACGATGCTCGTCCCGCGGTACATCGTCCTCGGCACCGAACCGCGCGTGCTGGCTTCGTACACCCTCGCCAACCCGGCAACGGGACTCGTCAACCTCAACGTCACCATCGAGAACGCCTCCAGCCACTTCCTCACGTTTGGCCTGAGCATGGAGCCGAGCGACGAGTTCGCCTTCTCCGGCGCCAAGCAGACCACAATGCACGTTCTCCCCGTGTCGCGACGATCGGCGACATACCGCCTCCTGCCGCTCGTCAGAGGCGCCTTCATCCGGCCAAGCCTGGTCGTCAGGGACAAGTACTTCCAAAAGGTTCTCAGAATCATACCCACCGAGGGCATGAAGATCGACAAGGACGGCCTCCTGGTATGGATCCCGCCGGAAGAGGAGGAAGAAAAAGACAGCTAGTCACACGCTTGTATACATACTCTACATCTAAAGAACTCTAAAAAACCGCTCATCTATCGTGACCATTTACATCTTCGCCTTGGGAGGCCGTTCGGGCCGTCCAATCCTCTTCATCCACTCATCCGTGAGAGTGGTCTTCTCCTTTACGCTCAGCGCTGCCCACCTCTCATACTCGTCCTGTTCCCTCCTCCACTCTCCCAGCCCCTTGACGATCCACTCCGCCGTCAACTTGGCACTCGTCCCCGGGATCTCCATGGGAAACAGGTGTCCCGCCTCGGGCAGCGTGACCTCCCTCACCCGCCCTCTCTCCACGCCTCCGCTCCCGCCCGGCCCCGTGCCCGTCAGCCTCATCTTCTCCTCCCTCAGCTCGGGCGTCGACAAATCGCTCGTCCCTCCGAAGACGTACATCGTCCCCGGCCGCAGGTGAGGCAGCCTCGCAAGCGTGCTCGCGCCCTCGGAGCGGTACACGGGGAAGGTGTAGTACCGCTCGTTCAGCGAAGGGTCCAGGTCGGGCACCAGGTCCGGCTTGACGATCGTCTGCCCCTTGTCGTCGTAGGCGTCCCAGCTGGGCCGAAAATACGTAAACACCTCCTGGTGCTTCGTCGTGGCCAGCGTCACCCCCTGGCCCTCGGGGTACAGCTGCGTCGGCACGTCCCGCAGCCCGTGGCGGACCCAGCTCTCAAAGACTCGCTCGTCCCAGGCCTTGTAAAAGGGGCTCCGCAGGAAGGCCTTCTTCGCCTCGTCCCGGGATGGCCAGACGTCGCGCCGCGAGGCGGACGCAGCCGCCGGGCTCGCGCCGATGGTGCCCTTTGCGTTGGAGGACCACTTTGAGATGACGGGGTCGAGCAGCACGACGGCGGAGAAGAGGCGCGGGTTGATGAGGGCGACGTTGACGATGGCGTTGCCGCCGAAGGAGTGGCCGACGCCGACGAGGGGCCGCGGGGGCCGCAGGGTGTTGACGACGTGCACGAGGTCGCGCGGGTGGTCGAACCAGCCGGGGTCGTTGCCGAGCTTGCCCTCGTTGAGGACGGAGGAGGCGCCCTGCCACGCGGCGTCGGCGATGATGATTGAGCGGATGCGGAAGTTTGACTTTTTGGACTCGGCGTGGAGGTCTTCCCAGAGAGCCTCATAGAGTTCCTGGGTGCGGTGTCAGCGGTGGATTGATCTCATTTAAATCAAGGAAGTCATGAGATGTGTAGATTTGTGTAGGCTGCTTTTGAATGTTGAGACGATGAAATGAGATTTGGATAAGAGCTACCTTGGGAAACCCATTGGCGTGCGCGCCGATGATGGTCACATCCCCAGGCTGCGGGTTCGGGTTATCCTTGGGGATGTACTCCTTCACGGCCAGCTTGAGCACATCGTCTTGTGAGTTTGCGAGGGCGCGTGGGAATTCGCGAATGTGTGAGGCGTCGAGGACGTGTTCCTTGATGTGGAAGACGGACGAGGGTGACATTGTGGCTTCCGGGCGCCACCAAAACTCTGGCTAGTTCAACCTTTACGCGTGGCCGAAGCGTGTCACTGAGATGCAGTAGTCGTCTGATGATTGAGATTGATGAGAAAACACCAAAAAGTTCTCCAAGTAGCGTTCGTTGGAGGTGATTCGGAGTTGAAGTTGCGACATTAGACCGAGGGCCCCGGCAACATTGGGACGTCTGGGGAATTCTGGGGGTTCTGTGGAGCAAGATGCCGAGGTACCAGCGCCGGCATCCCAGCCTACTGTACAGCCCGGGGACAGCTCAAAACACTAATAGAGTAGCCACTCTGCATCTCCCCGAGACAGGAGCGCGGCGGCGGCAGTTATCGTCGGTAAAACCAAATGAAACCGGCAACCGTCGCGCTTCTTTCCTTTTTGCCTGCCTGTATCGCCGTTGGACAGGAACACAGGGAAGGGAGGGCGTGTGAATGAATTGAGTTCCCGAGCACGGCTGGCGTAACCTAGCTGTCAATCCTGCGCCTGGCGTGGCACGCTCTCCTTTTTCATCTGTTCTTCAGGGTAAGACGGCGGGTGGTCGAAGGGGTTGATGTGAACCTCTGTGTGACTGCCCCTTGAACGCTGCTGCCGCTACAGTCAACGCCCAGATTCATAATCTACCCCGCGATCCATGGCAGTGCATGCCCCCCACTCATTCTGCACCTCCACACACATTCCCCCAGCAGCAAACACCCACATTTCAACCCCGGAAGCAGACGGCATCCCTCCCCGGCCCTGCATGCCCCGGATCCTCATCTTCGCCGGCGCCCCGGAGGCAGACTGGTCCGCCACCTCCCCATCCGCTCCGGCATCCACCTCCACCCCGCCCGGCCCGGCCTGGCGCTCCCTCGCCCTCCAACGCGCGCCCCTCGTGACGGGCTACTCCCAGCACCACGGCCTGCCCTCCGCCTTCCAGCCCCCAGCGCACTTCTTCAGTCTCTCCGTAGACGCCACCGCCGCCGAGTCGCAGTCCGTCTCCGCCTCCCAGGAGCTGCTGTCGCAGTTCTACGACCACTCGCTGGCCCTGCACCATGACGTCCCCTCCTCCCAGCTGCCGCTGCCCACGCAATCTCAGTCCCAGTCACAGTCGCAGTCCTTCGAGACGACAGTCACAGACTCCGCGGACTCCTTCGACGACACCACCACAAGCATCCGCACGCCGGTGACGACATCCCACCACCTCTCCGACCTGGAAGACATCCCCGAGGCGCCCGCCCTGCTCCGCCTCGCCCCGCAGACCGTGACCGTCAACCTCATCGCCGGGGTCATCTCCGTCTCGCCGTCCCGCGCCATCACCACGCGCTGGGGCACCGAGCTGGCCCTCGTCGAGGTCCTCCTCGGCGACGAGACCCGCGCCGGCTTCGGCGTGACCTTCTGGCTGGCCCCCGCGGCGAAGAGCGCGCCCGGGACGACGCTGCCGTCGGAGCTGCGGAGGCAGGACGTGGTGCTGATGCAGAATGTCGCGCTGCATGTGTTCCGGGGCAAGGTCTACGGCCAGAGTCTCCGGAAGGGACTGACGCGGACTACGGTGCTCTACCGGAGGAGGATGGGGGAGGGCGACGAGGGCGGGTACTACAGACGCAAGGATCTGGAGAGCCAAGGGGAGGGGAGGGCGCATCCGCAGCTGGTTAAGACGAGGAGGGTGTGGGAGTGGGTGCTAAGCTTTGTGGGTGGTGAGGCGAGGACAGAAAGCAAGGGGAAGGGCACGAAGAGAGGATGGGATTTGCCGCCTGATGATACCCAATGAGACTGATTAGTAGCAAAGCTTGGATAGAGGGTTTTCTTGGATACATAAATCATTAATCGACTCTATGTGTAGTCGTTATTACAATCTCTAGTCTAGGTAGAGTGAGGTCTAGCCCGGGTATCCTCTAAAAAAAAAACAAGTATCGTACAGTGATGTTATCCATCTAAACAGCAGCAACCGCGGGCCCCTTGCCCTCCTTCTTGACACTCTTCCACTGCAGACCCAAGCACGCAACAAAAGCGGCCGCAGCACATGCAACGGTGACGTAGTACGTGTGTCTCAAACCAACCATGTACGACTCCAAAACCGCGTCAATTGCGTCCTGACGCCCCATCTGAGTCAAGATGCTGCGGACTTGGTCGGCGCCGGCGTTGATGAAGATGGACGGGTCGAGGTCGGGGACGCGGGTGGCGACCCCGTTGACAAGACCGGTCTGGAACAGACTCTGGGCGACGGCGATCATGATGGCGCCGCCAAACGACTGGAAGAACTGGACGACGGCCGTCGCGACGGGGACCTCTTCGAGAGGGAGCACGGTCTGGACCACGAGGACGCCGATCTGGAAGCCTGCGCCGATGCCGAGGCCCGCGAGGACCTGGTAGCCGAACCACTCGCGCATGGGGGTGTCGAGATCGAAGGTCGTGATCAGACCGGAGCCGACGGTGAAGAGCACGAGCGAGGGCAGGATGATGGCGCTGTAGTAGCCGATGACGGAGATGAGCGCGCCGCTGGCCATACTGGCGACGACGGTCGCCAGCAGGAGGGGCAGGATCTTGATGCCGGCCTGGACGGCGCTAACGCCCTGGATTGCCTGGAAGTAGAGAGCTGCATTTGTTAGTTGTTGAAGCGGACAGGCCGTGGACAAAACTTACATAGGTAGTAGATGAGGGGGAAGAAGGCGGCGCCGAAGAAGCAGGCGAATAGCATGGCGCAGACAACGTTGCGGTTCTTGAAGAGGTAGGGGGGAAGCGTGCCCTTGTCTCCCTGCCACAGCTGGATTCCGATGAAGATGATGATCATGAGACCGAATCCGACAAAGAGGCCGATGATTTTGGCGCTCTTCCAGGGGTACTCGGCACCTCCCCACTGCAGAGCAAGGAGCAGGCACACGATCGCCGGGATAAAGATGGCCGTGCCGATGAGGTCGAGCTGCATGAGGCGCTGGACGAGCGTCTTTCCCTCGGGGTTGTTCTTGCGGCTCAAGTGAAGCAAGAAGAAGACGAAGACCATGGCGATGCCGCCAATGGGGAGGTTGATGTAGAAGCCTGCGTTGATGGTCAGTACACGCTCTCTAGAAAGCAATCAGCAGGAAATGAGACTTACACCACCGCCAAGTAGCCTTCTCTGTGAATACGCCTCCAAGCAATGGTCCAGCGACCGACGCAATACCCCACATGCCGCCAATCAAACCAAAGGCAAGAGGTCGCTTCTCCAGAGGCATCGTGTAGCTGAGGATGACAATGGAACCCGAGAACAAGCCGGCCGTGCCAATGCCGGCGACGGCGCGCCCAATAATGAAGGCGGTCGAATTCGGTGCGAGGGCGCAGACCAGGGAACCAATCTCGAACACGGCGATGGCGGCGATGTAGATGTACTTGACGCTGAACAGCTTATAGACGGTGCCGTACATTGGCTGGAGGGCGGTGGTGGTCAGCAGGTAAGCCGAGCCGTACCAGCCAATGTCCTTGACGCTGCCATATTCCGAGGTGATGGCGCCGAGAGCTGGGGCGATGATGGTCTGGTCGAGGGCGACGAGGAAGACGGCGAGGCAGAGGGCGATGATGATGAGAATGAGCTTCAGGCCGTGTGGGTACTCGACCTCATCCTCGCTGGACTGGTGGGTTGAGGGTGCCTTTGTATCGGCAGCGTTGAGGTCGTGGGCAGGCTTCTCGGTGAGGATCGAGGGGTCGGCAGAGGTGGTCTCGCCGAGTTTGTCGTCGCGATGCTTCGTATCCATGTTGGCGAAGCTTCCCAGTAGCGATAGAAGGTGGGAAGGAAGCTGTCTCTGAGGAAAGGGTGTGAAGGTCAAAGGGGGGGGGGATCACTTATAAGTCGAGACAAGGTTGAAAGGACCTTGGTGGGATCTACCTTTTCGGCGTGCAAAAGGAAAGATCAACCCTGAAAGATGATACAGCAAGAACGGACGAAAGCAAAAAAGAATGACGGCGGGAAGCGGGCGTACTTAACGACCTCGGGCGGTCCCCTACATTGCATCTCAGATCGTGAAATTTCCCAAGTGCAACATCACATCGGGTAGCAGCGCGGACCAGCACCGACCATGACCAGGCCCCATCCCGATCTGGACGTGTTTGCAAGCCACAGGGATGGTGGGGGATGGTCCAGGCTGCCGACTCACAAAGCACGAGTACATGAAGCCAAGGGCCAACTAGCCCATTAGCATGAGCTTGTCTGCGTTTGGGTGGGTGGAAAGTGCCAAAGGGCGGACGAGGGTACGGACAAAAATTGAGGGCCACGCAGGGGTCGGGGTCAGTATCGGATGGAAAAGAAAAATCTGCCCGATTGTCCAGATGGATGATGATGACTACATGGCCGTCGCCGCAGTTACGATCATATTCTGTTACGTGCCAGTGGGATGCTCCAGCTGCAACAACGTGGGCCGGGGCATGTCTGAGTAGTCCGGGGGCCCATGGATCACACGAAAGAAGATTTACGAGTGCTGCAGCGGGGGGGAATTCATCATACGGAGTAGAGCGAGTGAGTCTTCGGGAGTTCCAGCCATGTGGTAGTGGGCCGGTAGCGAGGCAAGTCAGACCGCAGGGAAAGGAGCAAGCAATGGCGGCGGAAAAGCCTAGATGTCGGTCGGGCCCTCTCGGAGGTCGGCGTGTAAACATGTCCGACTGACACGGCGCCGTCCCCGGTGATTGGTCGCTTCCAGCGCCCTTCGGCCCTCGCACCGCACCTGGTCATTCCACTTTGGGATTTACGACGTCAAGACGCCAAATTGACCAATCCTTCTTTTTTTCAGCTGGGGGAGCACCAAAGGGACTTTGGGGTCCTAGCGGCGGCACCGCAAGCACCTGCTGTGGCTTGCCCATCAAAAGATCTCTTTGGTGCAGAACCCCGTCGTGACTCATCGGTGGCCCAATGTACTGCCATCGTTCATGTTTGCGGTGCTGAAATCTATCCGACTGAGACGTCCGTGTTTAGTCATGGTGGCTTGACCGGCCCTCGTCGGACGGCGATGAAAGTGTTGCACCGTAGACCGAGGACTCGAATCCCCATTCCACGTCCTTGGATTTGCATCGTGTCACAAACGTGCGCGTCATATAACGCGGATCGACGCGTTGCTGACGCCCAGTCTACGTCTTCCTACTCTATGCTCACGCATCTGTGGCCGCATGCCTCATCGGTGAGATGAGGCTGCGAGAACACCACCACCACCAAACAACTCAGGAGAACAGCCTACGATGGCTGCAGGGCCTGCGCAACGTCCGCGTCAACCTTTTTGTCACGCCCTCCCATGCTCGGGACGTTTCTCCAACAGCGGCACTTACACGCGACGTGGCTGACAAAGATTGTCTTGCTCCCATGGCAGCCAGCATCTTAAGCTTATTCACATGGCCATAATGTGTGTGCAAGCAGGATCATAAGACAAGGTTGATCCCGCCGCCATCCATCAACTTGGGGAAACACACCTGACCTTCTGACAAGTTCTGCAGAGGCTAGACTGCGAGTCTGGCGTCCGAGCCAGAGGCTAGAAGTCAGGAAAAGGTTCCCTCACCATCCACTTGAAACGGCCCCCGATGGAACGCGATGGCCTGGGATCGACTGATGGACGGGCTTGTTGCCTTTAAGCATTTCGGAGATGGAGAGCCTTACTGTAAAAGAACGTGACGTGAGTCTTGGGGCACCGCCTACCTGGGCACCTAGGTAAGGTATTTTAAGGCCCATCCCCGCGGCGTTTCGGCGCCGTTTATGGGGACCACCTCCCGTCAGCCAGTGAGCTTCGGGCTAAGTGCCGCTGTGGATTGAAACAAATCCCCAGAGGAGGGGGCAGAACGGCAGCTCTTCAAGGTTTGAAAGTATCGACGCTGGTTGTTTGGGTGAGAAGATACCTGTGGCAGGGCAAGCGAGGCAGAGTGCAGGGTGACGCCTGCAACAGAGCCTCAGCGTCACCCGCCAAGGTTCGCTGTAAATGGCCGTGGATGGGCGCCCTATCTAATCTCGGCGCATCCAAACCATGGAACCCTGCACGTCCGCCCGCACCGCATCGTCGGCCGCGTCTATTCGTATGTCTGCTGCGTCTGCGTCTGCGCTAAACCAACGACCTTTCCAACCTCTGTCCGTAAAGTTGCTGCGTCGACGTCCCCTTCGCATGGGCATCTTTTGCCAGTCCACGACAGACAATGCCATTTGCATATCCACCCATCGCCGATAGCTCCTCAATGACCACGCCGAAGCGATAACCGACAGACGAGAGCCCCCAACCGAACGAACGGTCCACCGTTTAAACCCACCTGCCGCCGGATATCATTCCCCATCGGTCGAGAGCCTGGCCTCCCGACCTTCATTTCGCAGCCATGGACCGCGCCATGATGATGAGGGACATGGAGTACGATGAGAGCGCCATCATGGAGGATGACAGGGACGCCGAGCCTCCCGCCATCGCGGGGACCCCTCAGCGCCTGATACTCGGCCGTTCGCCCTTGTCCAAGACGCGCTCCATGTCCGACGGCGGCACCCCTTCGAAGCTCTCGCCCTCTCCGCACATCGCCGAACGCAATACGTCCAAAGATGATAGCCACATCGGGAACACCGCCGCGGCGACCGTGGCGCCTCCCGTCACTCCCCATCGGTCCGAGTTTCCTCTCCGCGGCCTGTCACTGCAGATGCCTGCCAACTCCCCGTCCTCCTCGTCCACCGGCTTCACGAAACCCGCGCCGCTGTCGCCAAAGCTCGACCACTCCCAGATTTACGCGAGCCCGACAAACATACTCCCGCGTCGCTCACGCGGCCTCGACTTCTCCCGTGCCGCGACGAGCCTCCACCACTCAACCCTCGCTGAGTCTTCGCCCGACTCATCGCCCACGATCGGAGGCAGAGGAATGAACATACCCGGCAGGAGAAGCAACGACTACGGACAGGCCGAACAGACGACGAACTCGCTGTGGTCCATGATGGGCAACCACGAGCGCATGACCGTGTCGAGCTCTCTCGGAAGCGCCCACCCGCTCGGGTCGGACTCTTCCTCTTCTTCAGACGACGACGATTTGATGGACGAGGATATGGACGAACCATACGTTGGTACGCCGCAGGCCAACAAGTCTATGACCCCGATCGGCACTCAGGCTCCCAACGCGCCATGGATGGGGTCCCCGGCCATGAACAGCCTGATGAGCTTTCAGCAGAGACAACGGGCAAGGAAACAGCCCAAAAAGAAGTACAAGCCGCCGCTCGGTCTTGGATTTAGTCCCGCAACCGTGGCCGGTCTATCAAAGTCGCCGCCGAGCAATGGACCCAAGGACATGTCTGCTCACAACCGGAGGGAAAGCATTAGCTGGCAGGCGAACCAACTGCATATATCCGGCAGTGAGGAGGAGCGAGGAGATAACATTGACCACCTCCTGACCACACCCAGCCGCGACGGGCAGCGACCTACCATTATGAAACGCGTAGTCACCCGTCGCGCAAACCTTTTGGTGAGTTGGCTCTCATCCACTCTGACTTATGCGTACTAACCGTGTGTAGCCCAAAACGAAGAATTTTGCTCGTATCAGAGCAGCTCTGTTCGAGGAAGGCGCGCCTGTTGAGACGGAGACCCGGCGCGAGGCCGAAGTCGTGCGGCAAGTGCGGGAGAGCGACGTGGACCTCGAGCCGCCCCGTCAGCAAACAGCGCCGGCCACGACTCACTCATCACCGAATCTCGGCACCCAGGAGCCGATGCTGGACGACATCCCCGAGAGCATGATCACCGACTCCGCACTCCTTTCAGGCAGCTTCAAGCAGCAGGCACTAAAGAACTCCAAGGGCACCAAGTTCTGGGACACATTCTCGGAAGCCAGCAGCGCCGGCACGCGTACAACACCGCCTCCGCCCAGCGGACTCCCCCGGGGCTCTTCCTCGGGCATCAGCGAGGACATATCCATGGACTCGCCCTCTCTCGGGCCGACCGCCGGCTTCGCTATGGCCGCCAGCAGCGGTGAGTCCCAGAAAGGCGACACACCCCTCCTGGCACAAGGGCCGCAGCCGGCGCCGAGCGCGGCCGAGATCACGCGCCGCATCAACAGCAAGCGCAGGAGAGAAGACGACTTTGACCCTGTGAGTTTCAAGCGACGCGCCGTCAGCCCAGGCATGAGCGTGCACAACTCCCCCATCATGCAGAGCCCCATGCAACGGGACGTCGCGCCGTGGGGATCCCGCCCTGGCAGTAACAGCGGCGACCGGGGAGGCTCCGGCGCGCCAAGCGAGTCGGGAAGTCTGGGCGGGACGCCGGGGAGCAACCCCAACGCCAACGGCCGGGTGAACGGCACCAAGGGGCGCGTCGGGTTCCAGGGGATGGTAGACACCAGCGACGGCATGATGCGGATGAGCATCGAGTGACCTGAAGCGGTGTAGGAAGGGAGGCAGGAGCAGAGCTGGTCAGTAGGCGTTTCTTGCAGTTCTTTTTTGGGTCAGGGTTGCATTTGAACAAAAGTACGGTGCAGGCGAATCGGCGGTTATTCAACGGAAGGAACAAGAAATATCCATAGAGCCGTACCCGGCATCACACGGCGGCGCATGAAGTAGGCATATCTAATGACCAGACATTGGTTTTGAACAAGTTGATATTTCGTGGTCGTGGTATCTTTTCCCAACGCCTGTGTACGCCTTTAAATGCTCCCAATGGCAACGAAGAAAGTAAAAACAGGTCCCCTCCCCTCCTAAACTGCCTGTAATCATTCACTCCACGCCGACACCCTCCTCCGGGACCCTCAGACTACCCAGCTTATCATCCAGCCACCTCGCCAGCTCCTCGGCATGCCGCCTCATGACCACGACACCCGCAGTGTTTACGCTTCCGACACTGCCGAGACTGGCCGTCGTGATGCCGCCCACGCTCAGCACGCTGTCCACCTCGCTCGGCGACGCGGGCATCTGGCTGGGCGTCGCGCCTCCGGACCTCTCGCCAGTCCCGTTGTGTCCGCCGTGCGCCGCCAGACCACCTTGCTGCTGCAGCTGTCCGCCGCCGCCGCTCCCCTCCTCGATGTGCTCTGCCAGAGGTCCGATGCACACGAACAGCAGCCCGCACTTGAGCCTCCTGATCACGACGACGCCGGCGGCCAGCTGCACCGTGATCGTCAGCGGCTTCTCCACGGGCGGTGAGGAAGCGGCGGACGGGGAGGAGTGCGAGGTGGGCAGGGCGTCGGGGATGTCCGGGGCCGTGGAGCCGTGCAGGGCGAAGAGGGAGGAGGCGACGGTCGACTGGGTGCGAAGGAGGGCGACGGGGTGCGGCGAGGCGTGGGCGAGCAGCCGGCCCGAGGGGGTCGCGAGCAGGGCCGTGTGCAGGTGGGCGTTGAGGTTGGCGGAGAGGAAGGTTGTTAGGCGTTTCGTTAGGAGGAGCGGGGGCGTTGGTTGGTTGAAGGACATGTTGAGCCGTCGTTTGTGTGTGTTTTCGCGTGGTGGTGATGGCTTCGGATGTGTGAGAGTTTGGTGCCCGACGGTGGGCTGATGGGCGATGTTTGGTGCGTTTCCGACTTGGGGAGAGTCGTCGCGCGTCGTTTGGCTTTGAACTGTAGTTTGCTGGTGTACGTCGAGCTGAGATGACACTGGGTTGTCGGAGAATCTCGAGCTCGAGCTGTAGCTGGCGAAGGTAGCGGGTTGAGGTCGAGATTTGATCCACCGGGCAGTCGGAATCGGAGCTGTGGCAGCCTCCAGTGTTCGTGCACCCAGGCAACCTGGAAATTTGGGCTGTGGCGGGGCACACGCCCGACAGCTGCAGCATCATGGAAGAGGTACGTACCGCCCCGGCGGCGGTGTTAGTGTGGCACGTGGGAACGTAGGCCCTGTCAGCGGACATCACGGCCCTGGCTATATTTTAAGAACATTCCTAGTGCTCGGCGTCTACTGCGGGCTACTGCGCTCTACGATGGTCATGCCGTCCCGTGATGCATTGGACGAACTAGGACGAGCGGGAGGAGCTGAGGTGCACTGAGTCATCCTGCGCTTGAAGCGACTACATGGGTATTATTTTAGGTTCATTTGCAGACTGAAATAACACGCAGAAGGAAAAATTCAGAACACCAGTCTACGCCTTCGGAGCGTTCAACGAGATGAAGCGCCTGCGGAGGTCGTCCATGACGTCCACGTACTCCCGCCCGTCCTCCGTCTTCACCCGCCACTCGCAGTACAGCTTCTGGATCTCGTCGCAGAGCGTCCGCGACTCGGCAGCCGGGCTGACCAGGTCGTAGTTCAAGAGGAGCCGCACGGCGAGCTTGAGGTGCTGAGAGTATCCGACTTGCATGAGTGTCTCGTCGATGTGGACATCTGCGCGCTCATCGCACTGGTGAGTGCATTCACAGCCCCGGAAGTTGACGCGCTCGCAGCCGCGGCCAACGTGGCGGTTCGTTCCGATGCATTGGATGTCCTGGCATCGGCGGATGTGAACGCAGTCGCAGGTATCGCACCCGTCGAGCGAGGGGAGGGGGAAGCCGAGCATCATGCGGAAGAGGACGGCGCCGAGGGCCCAATGGTCGTCGCTGATAGTGTACAGGCGTTTGGCCTTGCATGTGTTAGATGGCAAGTCTTCGGACCAGGAGTGATGAGCTTACCAGGTCGCCTTTCATGATGTATTCTCTCCACTGCTTCTTCATCTCGGGCAAGCTCATGTGCTCGTCATCAAAGGGCGCCACGGCCCGTCCATCGGAGTTGGGAAAAGGTTTGCTGTCATCGTTGATCTTCCTATTGCGACGTGCCGGAGCACCAGACACATACGCAGTGCCAAACTTGCCCAGCTTGCAGACGCCGTACGTCTCGTCGCCGCGCGGGTGTTGGAAGAAGATACTCTTGCCGTTGATGCCGCGGTGAAGAATGGGCATCCAGTCCAAGTCTTCATGCTCCCAGTGCCCTTGGCCCGTAACCCAATCAATCTCATGGCGACAGCCGTCGTGGAGCCAGACGAGAGCGCGCATGATGGACGTGAGGACGTGCCAGCAGAGCGACTCGGGCATGTGGCAGCCGGGCTCTTTCTCGAACGTCCGGTCCTCGAAGAGGAGCTCTAGCGTGCCGGCATCGCAAATGTCCCAGACGAGGTAGTCTTCGGTGGCGTCCACCTGCGAGTGGAAGGGCTTCTGACGCAGGTAGCCCGCCAGCGAGATGATGTTTTCGTGGTTGAAGATGTGTGCAATGTTGCGCCCGATGTTGCAGTCGTACAGCAGGTCCATCAAGCCCTTGACCTCTCGCTGCCTCTTGGTGGTGAAGCCGGCGGCGTATTTCCCAGCGTCATAGTATTCGTCAAAGTCGTCAACCTTGCGGGCAACGAACTCCTCGCCGTCGGCATATCCCAGGTGCTGTGCGAGCCTCCTCGCCAGCCAGATGTTGCCCTGGACTTTCTTGACGAGCTGGAAGGTCGGCTGGGGGTGGTCTGGGTCGTCCATTGCGGCGTGTTACGTGGATCGATGAAGACGGGCATCGCGGGTTTAGGGATTGAACTGTAGACATATATCATCTCTTGTGATCATTGTGATGATTTGCAATCAGCATGTCTTCTTCGGGACGCTGCGATGACTTGGCAGGGCTTCATCTGCATCAATGGCTTGTCTCCAATGTCCCAGCCGTCAGAATATCACTATGAATGGGGTCATCCAGGCTTCCTGCATCGACACAAAGAGCAGTCAGACATTGTCGTTTGTCGTCCAACGGCTTTCATCTTGGCAGCCCGGAAACGGCCACCCTGTGCGCCCCGTCCGTAATTAGTGTCACGACCGTTGGATGCCGCTCTGCAGCCGCAGAACAGGAAACATACATCAGGAACATTGAGCGGTCGGACGAACTGCGCGGTAGCCACAATCCCTCAGTCCGCAGCGGCGGCCAAAGCCAGAAACATTTCAAGCCTTCGCGCCCGACGCGCCGCCACTTGGCGAACACGCAGACATGGTCTTTCCCAGAAACATTGCATCTATATCGGCCGCGCCGTTCACTGTCGTTTGTCTCAACAAGATTAGACTGACGATAAAGATAGCCGAATGCCCGGGGTAATCCACGTGCCTCCGGGGCGGGAAAATTGGCATTGGCAAAGCGAAATGGCGTCCTTGTCCCGAAGTGGGAGGTGCCCGGTTTTCTCTGGGCCGTGTTGGCCAAGACCTGCCGTCTGATCCGTGGTTGTTTGCGAGGATCCTCCCTTGGCCCTTTGCCCTTGCGTTGTTTGCGAGGGTTGCGAAGCCCTTCTGAATGTCAGGCTATGCTGGAGAGGGAGGAGGGCGACTGGCAGTGTCGCTATGAATTAGTTCAGCTGAATGACATCGCCGTCCAGGGCTCAATCAATGCGGAGGGGGCGCATAGGCCAAGTCTGAGGTAAAAGAAGCACTTGCGAGGCCAGGTCCCGTCTCCGGGGGTGCTCGACATCATGCATACCGTGGTACGGCCAAGGGGGACGGCGTTTCATCGAGACTGTCCCGAGGGGAAGCTGAGCAAGTCTGCGGCGAGTTGAGACGGGATTCCCGGCGGGCGCAGATTATCCATTCTGGCTGCAACGAGAGGGACGAGTAAGTTCACCACGGAGACGTCTGAGTTCGACAAGCCACTGGGACAAGTGAGGTGCTCGTGAGAGAGATCTGGACGACGGTCGCTTCTTGGTCGGCCTCGCTCGATTCTGAACGGCGGCACTTTCGTTTCGAAGAGCTGACGTTGCACTCTGCGGGAGTGGCTAGCGACTGGCCGCGCTCATTCAGGACGGTCGAAACAACGCGGCCAGATGGCCCCCAAGTGCGTGGCGTCCCGCCGCTTCGAGAGGCGCAGGACTTGGGTCAATGGTTGGATGGGTTGGGCGGGCGCGTCCGTTGCGCGGCTGATTGTCAAGGTGAGGCCGCGAACCTGTGGCCGTGTTTAATCTCGAACGGAAGTACCGTCTCGTACAGAGCACTCGTCCAGTGGCAGAGCCTTGCGGCAATACTTTGGAGGCCGTGGTGGACTGGTGGTGCTGCGAGTAAGACGATCCGCCGTTGATTGGGGGCAGAAACGGCTCTGACAGGCCGACTGATACACTGTCGAAGAGGCAGCCCTGGACGCTGGAGGCTAACAGGGGGAACACACGGTGGAACCCCTTATCAACCCTATATGTGACCCCGGCCAATACGGAGCCAGAACAGGACGGGAAATGGGACCTCAAACGCTCTGATGGTGGCGCTATTCCGATTCGGGACGGCCGGGGCACGGTACCTGCGTTAAAGGCCGCGCTTCAGTCGCTGTTGCTCCACATGCGCCTCGGATGCTCGAAACCGCCAAACTGCTCACGTCCGCCCGGCCCTGTCGCTGCGACCTCAACTCGTCGCAATTATTGGATGCTTTTCCAGAAAGGCCCCCCTTTCCTTCCTCTTTAAGCGTCTCTTGTCATGTCTGGTCCCTCTGGGTCCCCAGAAGTCCCTAGGGCCCCCCCTCTCGCCGATCCCTCTTGAAGGCCTCCACTCCCGTCTTACTCGCCGCTGGTCACGCTCACGCCAACACTCTTCAGTCGCAGTGCTGCACACTGGACTGACACTGACACCTCCCGCATTCCTCTCTCGAGCTTCGCGAAGCAGTCCCATGGCCTCGACAGCAAGCGTCGATTGTTCCATCGACCGCCAACATTCCAGTCTCGCGTGAGAACCTCACCGTCCGCTCATTCTGCGCCATTGTCCCTCGCTCGCGATCGATTCGACGACCGTCCGCTCACTCACCAGTCTCGCTACTGTCCACACTGTATCACTCTGCCCTTTTCGACATTCTGATACTCAGCCTTGCAACCCAGCGTGGCCGATCAAACGCGGATATTCGCCCTACCAGCAATAACGCCCACATCACTTACAACATCAACACCAGCGCCCACGACACCGCCCTTCCTCGCTTTCCCTTGTCAATCAAAGCACTTCGGATAGCCCCGATTGACTGATTGACAGCCGGAGCTGACGTTGTCGTCGCGGCTGTTTTCCCTCTCCCTCTTGATCCACCCTCAAACGCCCGGTCGCTCGACTATGCCTTCCTGACGACCCGCGGTCCGAACTCTTGTCTCGCAAAGTCAGCCCTTCGACCCTTGGGCCCACATTCCGTTCTCCCTCTCGTTCAACTTCTCGTCCATTTACCCTTTCACTCGTCCAGTCTCTTGCGTCGACTGATTTTTCTCCTAGCCCGTCAACACGAAAGCACAGTCGATTACTTCGCGGGCGAGTAACGACGTGTGCAGGCGGCAGGCCCGGATTTACGGTATCACACTCACTCACGACGCCGTTTCCTTTTTTCCCCTTCTTCTTTTCGACTCGACTGTGTCGAAATTTATCGGTACCTTTTTCCCCGTCATCAAAATTCGCTATTAGTTCAAGATGGGGTGTCTCAACCATCGCCGGAAGGGCATCCAGTACAAGGCGGAACAGAAGTGGGATTACATTGTGAGTGCGACCGTGGTTGACGAAAGGTGACGGTGCTAACCAATTGCAGTCTCTGAACGACTTCCGCTCGCGAGGATGCCTCACCCCGTTCGCTTACTTTTACCTCTGGCTCATGTTGTTCATCTCCGTCGCTGTCTACGGTGTCGATATGTTCACGGCCGTCAACCTGCTCGCCTTCGACAAGTGGTCATCCGAAATCGATCCCGCCATCGACTTTAAGATATCGAAGTGGATCTTTTCCGTCTCCATCATCGCCTCCTTCGTCAACCTCGCCTTTGAGCAGTTCCGGGCTATGCGTGTAATGAAGCGAGGAAACGTTGCTGAATGCTACCTGGACAACATCGCCGTCCGATTGGAGAGTACTCGGATGGGCAAAGGACAGGGATGGCGACGATTTCTCGTATTCGCCGAGCTCACGAAGAGCAAGAAGGGAGCCGAGTATATCGCTCTGTTCACCTACTTCAGCTTGCAATGTGAGTTACACCGGCATGTCTCATAGCATCCTACTGACATTCACAGCTTGGATCCGCGTCATGGTCTGTTCTGGTCCCCGTCAGGTCGTCAACGCCCTGACGCTCAAGTCCGTCTACGACGCCAAGCTTGCCGTTCACGAGGCATCCGTCGAGGGTTCTCTGCTGGGTTTCTTTGAAAAGATTAGGTCTCTTGCCACCGAGGACTACCAGCAGGCCCTGATCCTGTCTGGTATGCTCTTCACCCTCGTCATCTGGGTCTTTTCCGCTCTGTACCTCATTCTGGCTGTCATGTTCTACGTTTTCTTCCTCTGGCACTGGATCCCCAAGGACGACGGTGGCCTTTCCGGATACTGCGAACGCAAGGTCAACAAGGCTCTCACCAAGATCGTCACCGCCAAGGTCAATAAAGCATTCGCCAAACAGGAAGCGGACAGGAAGAAGGCGGAAATGCGGGCAGCCAAGAAGAACGGCGAAAAGATTGCCCCGGAGCGACAGGCCACTCTGCCAACCCTACCCAACGTGGGCGATCCAGACAAGCTCGCCGAGATGCCCATGTTTGGTCGCAGCGATACCTTTGCAACGCTTCCCCCGTACGAGTCCCGGCCTGGAACCCCCGGCAGCATCGAGCTTGGTGCCATGGATCGAAAGCGGCCCATGCCTCCTTCGAGAATGGGCACCACGACGTCGACTGCCAGCTACTCCTCCAGCGCTCCTCTCGTTGGCGGCGCTGCGGACATGGGCTACCAGCGATCAGCATCCCCTGCTCCCTCTCTCCCGCCTTTGGACCTGAACAACTACCCACCTGTTCGCCCGGGTACCTCGAACTCGCAAAGAAGCTTCCGCCCCGCGCTGTCACATGTGCACACCAACTCGCAAAGTTCGCTGCGAAATATCTCGGAGAGCCCCGCAACTTACTCTCCGGATACGATGCCACCCTTCCCGCCTCCTGCCCGAACCAACACTGGTGGCAGCACCAGAAGCTACAACCAGCGGCCTCCTCCCAGGGCCACCTACGACGACTACTCCAGTCAGTCCAACGGCCGAGCCAGCCCTGCGCCGTCGACCTACTCGGCGCGCTCTGCGGCCCCTCGCGGTCCCGCGATGAACGGCCCGGGATACCAGGCCTACCAGCCGTACAACGCCAACCCCCAACGGAGCGCCACCGGCCCCGTCCCCCCTCGCGGCCCGCCCACTGCTCCCACGCGGAACATGACGGCGCCAGTGCCTGTTCGACCGCAGCAGGACTACTTTGCCCGTCCGGGAACGTCTCAGAGCCAGAGACCTCCACGAAACAACCAGGGTTACGGCGGCTACAACGACGACGTGGAGGCTCAACAGGGCCCGCGGTACTAGGGTTCATAGAGGAGCATTGGGTTCGGTTCAAACCAGCATTTTCTTTTCATAATGTCTTTATGATTCCTGGGCGTCCACTTTTTGCAGTTGTCACAGGACGCTTCCATCTTTCGCGAACGGGTTTACAGCCATTCTACCTATCCAGCCCCCCTTGGGCTTGGCAGACTTGGATCAAAGAGCTTGGACCAAGATCTGGATTCGCTTCTTCCTTACGACTAACCATCCTTTCGATACCCCCGACTTTTACTTCTACCCAGTTCTCAGTGTACCATTAGGAAAAGGGCGTATCCCTCGGCGTCAGCAAGGGTCATGTTCACGGCCGGAAGAGAGAGAAAGAATCGCACTTGTACTTTTAGTAAAATACAACGTTGATGACGATCTGTTGTACGCCTGCATTCGTGATGACATCCCCTGGTTAAAGCTGCAGGGTCCCCGGAATGCTGGGGTAAGCAGCGGGGCTGAAACCTTAATAATGTCCAGTGTGGTGTAAGTAACTAGAGGGTGCACCTATTTGCGTTTAATATTTCCGAAACCCCTGTTAATGCGCGATTTTTGGGTTTTTTGCTTGCTACTACTTTTATTACGTTAACGCAGTTAATTAATAACGCGTTTTTTATCCTTTTTAACTAGCTGAATAGTAATTAAAGTTATTTATACTTAATAATTAGTATTAAGTTCTATTAGTATAATTTCTAGTATTATATTTATATCTAAGGGCTAATCTTATCAATATAAAATACCTCTAGCTAGTAAGTATATATTAATATTAATATAATCTAGTTTGATATATAGACTAAGAGATTTAATATAATAAAAAGATTATATATATATAGTTAGTTATATTAACTAAAAGTAATATAAAATAATAGAGAGTAATGTATATAGATTAAACTTATTAATAAGGAAACTTTATATCTTATTAAAATAGTAATCCTCTTCATTATAAAGTAGTTTGAGGATTACTTATTTATATATTAATATTATTTTATAGTTATTAGAACTATATAGTTAACTAAAAGACTTTAGTATATCCCTTATTACTAAATATACTTTATAATAAATATAAATGATTTATTTAGAGTATTATATTAGATCTATTATAGCTTAATTATTAAAGAATAATATTAATAATAGTTTTTTTAAGTAACTCTTATTACTCTTTACTAAGAGGTAATACTATTATTAGCTTAAATAATTGAATAGTTAGTAGATGGTAAGTAAGAATAGAGATATTAGTATAATCTTATTTATATTATACTATTAGCTACTATATATCTATAGCTTAAAGAATAAGCTATAATACTTTATAGTTATAGAACTATTAATATAAAAATATTACTTTATATTATAACTATAACTTCTATAACTAGTAATAATTTAATTCTTTATAATATATTTTAATATGATTTTTAAATACTTTAGGCTAATTACTAAATAGGGTAATAAGGTAAGTGATATAATATATTTATATATATATATATATATATAGGCTAAGATTATTAGTTCCCCTTCTAATATAGCGTATAATTAATATAATTAATATAGATATAACGAAAGATGATAATAATAGTTAAAAACGATGAAAAGAAGGTATTAATTAATATAATTAAATGTGTTGTGACGTGGTAAAAGTGGTGGCGGGTAAAAAACCTGAAAATCGCGTATTAATAGGGGTTTCGGAAATGTTAAACGCAAATGGGTGCGGCGCTAGGGGCGTCAGGGACGTTTCGGCGTCCCCTCGACGTGCTCGACATGGCGTGCTGCGATGCGCGCCCTTTGGGTGCTTGATTTGTCACCGCCATGTCAACCTCAGATCCCGAGCTGACGAGGAAAACAATTTCATCAGCCATGACTGTAGTCATGGTAGGATTATACGAAGGGCGCGCTTGATCTCAATTGGGGGTCGCAACTGAAAAGGAATTCGTTCCGCAGTCCACGGACGAGCGACTTTGGATCTTCACGACACACAACTCGGATGAATTACACTCTTCTGCTCAGCAGCCTGTTTGCGTCAAACTTCATCGCACACGATAGCATATTTTTCGGATCATTCACAAGAATGCCGGCCAGGACGATTGATTGGCACGAGGGCGAGCTCGCGGTGCACAACCTCCTCAAAGTCCCCACCCGCCCGAACCCTACGTCCGCGGGGCTGCCGGCGTCCTACGGGTACCGCATCGCCGCGGCGCCGCTGTTGGCTCTCGGCACGCTCGACAACGAGGACCGCCCGTGGACGACGCTCTGGGGTGGGAACGCGGGGGCTGTTGCGAGGCCTATCGCGGAGGATGTGCTTGGTGTGCGGAGCAAGGTTGACGTTGCGGATGACCCCGTTATAAGAGCCCTGTGGGGAGGCGAGGAGAGGGAGATCAAAGAGGGCGAGGTTGTGCAACCGGGAGGAGGGGAGGGGAAGGTTGTCTCCGGGCTGGCTATTGACTTGAGCACCAGGGATCGGGTAAAGTTTGGTGGGAAGATGGTTGCTGGTGCTGTTACGACTGTCAATGGCAATGGAGGGGGCGAGTTGCAGATTGCGGTCAAGGTTGACGAGAGCCTCGGCAACTGCCCAAAGTATCTCAACAAGAAGGATGTGAGAGAAAGAGAGTCGCTGGTCAAGGGGCGGGTCGAACGGGGACTGCCGTTATCCGAGGATGCCGCCGCCGTGGTGACACGGGCTGATATGGTCTTCCTATCCAGCGGCACCGGCGAGACCATGGATACAAATCACCGTGGGGGTTCCAAGGGCTTCGTGCGGGTTGCGAGGAACGATGACGGGGGCGTGGAGATAATCTACCCGGAATGTGAGTTGCATCACCCTGCTCAGCGCAGCATCAGAACGGCCGCTGACAAGCCGTAGTCTCTGGAAACAGGTTATACCAAACCTTGGGCAATTTGAGAGTCAACCCCCGCGTCGGCGTTGCAATCCCAGATTTTGACACGTCTGATGTCCTTTACGTACGTCCCGCTCCAACGCAGCTGTGTCTGTCGAAGAAGAAACTAACCAATGCAAGATTACGGGAACGGCGTCGATCCTCGTGGGACAGGACGCGGCAGCCTACCTGCCACGCACCAAGCTGGCGATCAAGATCACCGCGTCTTCGGCCGTCTTTGTCAAGTCTGGTCTGCCCTTCACCGGTGCCCCTCTCGAGCCGTCGCCATACAACCCGCCCATTCGCCACTTGCACACCGAGCAACATCAGCCACCAGCGGCAGCGGCAGCGTCAGCCGCAGGCACAGCGACGCTATTGTCCCGTGAGATCATCACACCCACCGTCGCGAGGTTCACGTTTGGGCTGGAGCCGGCAGGGCGGTGGGAGCCCGGACAATACGTCACGCTCGACTTTGCTCCGGAGCTGGACGTGGGATGGAGTCACATGCGCGACGACGAGCCGCAGAGCCTGAACGACGACTACGTGCGGACGTTCACGGTGTCGAACCAGCGCGGGGCGGGGCAGACGGTGGAGATCACGGCCAGGAAAAAGGGGCCCGTGACGGGGTTCCTCTGGAAGTGGAACACGAGGGTGCCGCTGGAGATACCGGTGCTGGGCTTTGGCGGTGAAGAGGCTTTCAGGATGGGGAGGTCCCCAGGTGCTGAAGAAGAGGTCTTCGTTGCGGCGGGCGTGGGGATCACGCCGGTGATGGCTCAGGCGGAGGGGGTACTGAGGTCCGGGGGACGGTTGAAGGTCTTGTGGAGCGTCAAGAGCGACGACTTGAAGTTTGTCAAGTATGTTCTTGACCGGATTCAGGGGCTTGCTGGAGTTACCAGGCTGTTCGTCACGGGACGGTTGGGAGACTCAGAGGAGAGCTTGATCGGGGAGATCAAGGCGGCAGGGGCTTCGGTGGAGAGGAGACGCATGGAACAGGGTGATGTAAAGGAAGCTGCTTCTGGAAAGAGGAAGTACTTTCTATGCACTGGGCCCGCAATGTTGAGGACGCTGAGCGAATGGCTGGACGGAGAGGAGGTTGCTTGGGAAGACTTTGCATACTAGACGATTGGCGAGTTGCTCATCCAATAGAAGCTAAACTTTTGTTTGGTTATCACAAAAGAAACAAAAGAAACATCGCGGTTGCATAGTACTGTCGTACCTATTCATACCAAGGACACGTCCAATGAGAACCTCCATGTCATCGGAACTGGTTCCAGGATTCCAGCTTGAGCACTTTCTTCATCGAGATGCTGACAGAAAAGCGGATTATGTAATACGCCTTTTCTCGATGCATGTAACCCACCCAGCTGGCAATCCAGATCAACCAGCTGCAACCAGCCGCAGCCACCAATCGCGATCTCCGTCGACAGCCACGATGCCACACGTTTTCTCGATGTGCGTCAGTCCCCAGGATTCCCGATTTCCAGATTTCCATGCTGCCGCATCGATGTTCTTGCATCCCCTCGCAACGGGCATGTGCGGCGCATGCGCCAAGCCCGTCTCGTGTTCTAACCGAACGGTTCGCGGTTACGTTACTGGCTGCCCCCCGACGCAGTGGACGGCTCCGAGAGACACCCAAAGGGCCCAGTGTTCGTCGAAACACAGAAGCAGGGCGTGGGTTGTGGTTGGTTTGCACGAGGTTGGCCGTCGTTTCGCGGGCTTTGAGAAGTGCGTCGGAGTCAGCCTCAAAGCCGGGAGTGTCTTCGATTGAGACCCCCATCGCCCGACGTCAATCTATCGATGCTGCCCGTCTGCCTTCTGCTGCCAATGCCGTGATGCCAGCACATAGCTGCGTCGACGCATCTAACACACACCGGTTGACTCTCGATTCGGTGGGGAATGCTTTACCGATACCCAGCCCAGGCGCCCATCCAGCCCGGCGGATGCGGAGTGCGGGTTCGGATGCGATGCGATAGGGGACTCCTCTCCGGGGGGCTCACAATCGGGGCATCACGATCACGCAGAGACGGTCATTGAATGAGGTGATTGAGGCCATTCTTGGGCCGACCCGCATGCTGTCAAAGTCAACAGACGACGCTGCTGGCTCGCAAAATAAGAAATTATCCACCATCCCTGACATTGTCACGCTGGCTCAACGACCAGATTCACCGTACATTTGTCCGCCCTTGTCTCTCGGCCGATTTTTTTTCAATCGATTCATCAGCACCGAGCAGGCATTAGAGGCTACGTTCTAGGCCCCTTGCCAACCGAAGCGAGCAACGTAGGCTGCAACCAGCCTCCGGCAACTCGCCGGATTGCTGGGGGTGAGAATGTGAGCGATCTCGATGTACCAAACACCCCTAACACGGACGATTGCTGTCAGCACGCACCACGCCTGCGGATGGACATATTCATCATTCACAAAGCAGTCATTCTCGAAATTCAATCGTCCCCTTTCCGGCCGGCCGTCCCGATGCTGAAACGCGGACTGGACAAGAATGCATTGCAACTCTGATCTCTGCTCTACAATGACGATGCAATGGACCCATTTTCAGCTGCGTGACCGACCTCGCGGGCTGTCAGGACAAAGTCTAATGTCTACGCCGCACGCCGTGCAACGGGCAGGGGGGCACGGGAGATAGGATGGGCAGAGGATGCCGCGATGGCTGATTCTAAATTCTTCAGAAAAACAGGCCACGCTCGCGGCAGACATAGACAGCAATCGGCATGGGCAAAAGGGCAAAGTTGGGTAAAATGCGCTTCCAGCAGCCAACCGAGGGACTTTGGGTGGGCTGCAGGGGTCTGTCCAAATCGAGATTGTGGGAAAGCCGTTGCGTCGATCGCCGTGATCGCGGAGCCAAACGCAAATCTGAGCATCGAGGCATCGGATTTCGCTCCGACTCATCACCCACCTCTCTGTTACTGGTGCCCAACACCCACACCGCGTTCGGCGGTCCCCCGTGGGCCACAGGCGCACTCACTCTGCAACAGCTCCAGCAACCATCAGGCCGGCAGCAGAGAATGCTACCGAGACACGATCCAAGCCACGAACTGGCCCTGACATGAGCTTAACACGAAGCCATATTCCACCATCCCCGATCGCTGGGACCTCACACCACATCACAGCGATGAGCTGTTAGGCTGCCGTTATGGAACCTTTCAAACGCCGCTTCCATCCAGGCATGACGCTCGTGGCCATCATTGCACACCCCGCAGTCCCCTCTCCGGCTCTCCCACGCCATCAACGGCAAACCCCTTGCAGAGCATGCAAAAGTGGATGGACAGCTGGGCGAACCGTCGACATGGGACTCGTCAGGACACCACCGTTGATGTAATGCCCATCGCTCATCGAACAGCTTGTCCCCCTCTTGGATTGGATGAATATACTCTGCTCTCGAGTGGCACCCTGCCCGGCGTCCCGCTCATTGGCCCCAAGTCGTATATTTCTGCGAAGAAGCTAGGGCGAAGGAGGTTCCTATTAGCCGTCGGACGCTCTTTACCGATCAGCGGGAGACGCAAAGGCAGACGCAGACCCTTACCGCTGGGCCTCCCGTTTACTATCCCCACTCCCTCCCTCCCCGATCACTGAGTCTACTGCATCGACTCGCGATCAGCCCAACGACATGAACGATCGCTCCGCTTCCCATGGAACAACGGTATCTTCATTCCCACACCACCAGTAACCGAATTACCACAAGTACCCGTCTCCTGCCTGGTGCTCCTCTGTCACATAACCATACACGCCCGCCTCTTGACGTTCTGTAGTCAGCCATCATACTCCGTGTTGGCTCTCTCATCCTGCACCGTTGCAATCCTCATAACGACCTGTCACCTTTTCCAGTTCTTTTGAGAATTCTATTGCTGGTCTTCGAACCAACAATATCCAGCTTCCTGCCGCCTTCCTGCCAACGCATCCAGCCGCATAATGCAAACCGCCTAATTACCCTGTCACTTCACATCACACTGCCTCGAGGCCCGGCTCCCGCAGCCCGACCCATTCGAGACCCCGGACAGGTCCATCGACTTTCACTACCTCATTGCCGCCTTATAATCACGAATCGTGCTGCCGACCTTCATCATGTCTCGCCAGGAGCTTCAATATCCCGCCGCCTACATCCAAGCCGAAACAGAGCGAATTCTGTCATTTCGAGCGCACTACCAAAATCCAAGCACAATGAACCCGTGGGAATCCTGCGCGTTGCAGGTACGTGGATCGGGAATCTCGCCAAGCTTTCTTTACTAACTTGCATAGTATCAATTCTCCGAGGAGACGGAACAAAACTCCAAGGGCAAGACGACCTCAGGATGGAGGCAACCCTCTGCCGCCGCCGACCCCGTCATGTACCCCGGCCTCTACGCTCCTAGTGGGTTCGACATGATGAGCATTCTCGTGAGTTTACTCTTGTTTTACGCAAATACCACGTCTAACAGTACCAGCTCCGCGTTGCCGGCAGACCCAACCCACAAGTGCAACTCGGTGCTATCGACTGTTCCGTTGCCCTGCTCCTCTGCGACCTGGAGCAACCCGACTGCCCCATCGTATACGCTTCCGAGCACTTCAGCCTGCTTACCGGCTACTCCAACAAGGAAATCATGGGCAAGAACTGCCGCTTCCTTCAGGCACCTGGGGGCAAGGTACGAAAGGAGTCATCACGCAAGCACGTCGACAAGTCCACCATCAAGAAGATGAAGAAGGCTGTAGAGGCGAACACCGAGGTTCAGCTCGAGGTACTCAACTTCAAGAAGGACGGCACTCCGTTTGTCAACATCCTCACAATGATCCCCGTCCGATGGGATTCCCCCGGCTTCCGGTACTCTGTCGGCTTCCAGGTGGAGCGGGAGGACTGAACACTTTTCGATTCTCGTACACTTCCGACCGTCCGATCTGACTCGACCGGTCGTTCCTACTGTCAACAACCTTTTACGTCAACATATACGGCGACATTACGACATCTTACGAGCGCGGCATCTTGCTATTAGGCATTTACGATACCCAGACACGCATATGAGTTAGAGCTCAGGCATCTCCCGGTCACGACAACTGTTGATTTTTTTTGCTATTCGGCGTCACAAGGAGCGACACACAAAAAAGCGATGCATGGATATCGGATCACTATTAGGTGTTAAGGATATCATCCCCCCCGCCTCACTGGAGGTTCATGGGTGGCAGCGTTTTGTTTTACAGACACAAACTCGCAAAGCAAGCATTTGGGAATGGCGTTTGCAATCCCAGTCGGCATCGGCCTTGACTGGGGTAGGTGTTGGACAGGCATTTTGACGAACTAGCCATGATATTTTGATCATGACGACATGGGATACATAGCACAAAGGCCCAGGCCGTCCACGAATGAACAAGTATTATTTGAGCAGAGATCTGTGCGGCTGCATTGTGCCCTCGGACGCACCGAAACAATAGCTTTCTGCGTTGACAACAAGTTCAGCTGGTCAAGCTCCCCCATGTGTTCTTCTAACCCCTCCTCTGACGGATTGTCCGCGTCATAAAATACCTGCAAGCAAGCTACGTCCGCCAAACCAGCGCTAGCCAAGCAATAGCCACAATAAGCTTGACTCTCTCATCGCAACCCCGTGGTGCATCTCCCGAGAAGTGACAAAGAATGACTTTCAACTCATCTAGTCCTAAACCATAACAGTGTCTCACATGGAGGCGTTCTGTATTACCTAAGCCTACCGCATCTCATCCCATATGATTGGCCACGAAACTGTATATTCGGAAGTCCGAAGGCTTCTGAACGTCAGCTCCCATTGCAGATGTTAATCCACACATCTCATTAATCAAGAATTGTAAGATCCTGAGTAAATCAAGCAGACAAGATGCCTCTCCGCGGACCCGTGCCAGTCAGGTTGTGCAACAAAGAGAACACCGAAAAGCTCGTCCTGGGCCCGATGACCATCTACATCTATGAGGACGGCTCGAACACGGACAACCGCATCGGGTGCATGACGCTGGGACTGCCGCCTGGGACGTCTGGGCCACCGATGCACTGGCATCGATTCCACGATGAATGTTTCTTCGTGACCAAGGGTGGGTTGTCATTTGAGATGTTGGAGAGTGTACGCTCACGACTGGTCAAGGGACGATTCGCTTCAAGACGCCCGAGGGCGACCTCGACGCCAAGGAGGGAGAACTGATGGTCGTTCCGCCGAGAGCGATCCACACGTTTGCCAACCCGTCAGAGACGGAGCCTGCGGAGTTTTTCATGACCTCTACCCCTGGTAAGTTGCTTCCAGTTGTGATATGCAACAGTGACGCTGACTGAGATAGGGTATTACATGGACTGTGAGTAAAGCGTCCCGGGAGACCGATGGGCAAGCTAACTGTACAGATTTCCGCATGATGGGCAAGTCCATCGAAGAGGGCAAGAAGTTGTCGCGGGAGAATACGGCGCACTTGATGGCACTGTTCGGGACGTTCCCGCCGGATGTGGAGTCGGAGCCGTGAGGAGTGTAACTTTAATCGATCGCCGGCTCGATAGTTCAATTCCTTAATCGTAGTGACCTTCTTCTGCCAGAACCAACGACCTCCTCCTCCTTTTTGACCTGCGGGGCTTTGGGTTTTGCCTTGGTTGCTACACCCCGCTGTTTCTTGCTTGGAGCTTCGACAGCCGGCTCTGGAGACTCCTCCTTTACTTTTGCCTTGGAAGGCTTGGCTTTCTTACTCGGCTTCTCCTCAACCTCCGCCTCCTCCTCCTCCTTTACCGCCCTCTTTGCCGCTCTCTTCGCCTCCTTCGCCTCCTTTGCCGTAACTGCGACCTGGCCCGTCTTTTTCTGCCTTTCCGGCGCGTAACAGCTAGTTCGCCCGCCCACCGTGATGAAAGCCAGTTTCTCCCCATTCGGCGAGACACTGGATACACCGTCACCCTTGCCCTTGCCCCAGCGATGGTTGAACAGCCAATCATCGGGGAACTCATCCGAGTCTCCCAGCTTGTCGACGGCCGTCTGGCACACGTAGCGGATCTTCTCGTACAGCGTCCGAATCTCCGCTTTCGTAAAGTCGTCGCAGTACTGCTCCGGGTGCAGCTTCGCCTGATACAGCACCTCGTCGGCGACCCAGTTGCCGATGCCGCTGATGTTGGCCTGGTTCAGCAGCAGCGCCTTGACCGGGACGTGCCGGGACTGCATCATCTGCTTGAAGTAGTCCTCCGTGAAGACGTCGACGTCGACGACGGGGTCCGGGCCATTCTCCTTGAGCGGGGAGTGATTCCGGATCTCCGCGCCGGGGCAGTCGACGAGTCTGATGCGGCCGAAGCGGCGGGGGTCTGTGAAGGCGGCCCGGACTGTGGGGTCGCCCTCCGTTTCGATCCAGAACTTCCAGTATTTGGGGGGCCAGGTGTCCATTTCGCTCTTCTTCATCTTTTTGTAGTAGTTGGTGTAGGCGGTCTTGTCGCCCTTGATGTGGATCCATCCCGTCATTCCCAAGTGCATCACGGCGTGAGGTGGCTGGTCAAAGGTGATCCTGGACGGGTGAGCCAGAGGGCTTATCAGAGGCTGCGCTGGACCTACCAGAAGTATTTTCCCTGGCTCCCAACAGACACAACCTTCTTGCCTTTGACGGCCTCTTCGAAGGCTAGGCCGCTGGTCCCGACCTTTCCAAACACATTGGCGTCACCGGGGGCAGAGACTCTAGCAATCTTCTTGCCCAAGAGGTGACGGCGCAAGAAGTGCACGCACCGAGCAACTGAGAGAGTCAGTCTACATTTATCGCGTTACATGCAAATCAAGCCTCACCTTCAGCGATTTCAGGCATTTTCAACACGCACACTCACTTCGGACACTGAGTACGGATACAGCTCATGACGCGACGACGTCAAAGGGCCCACCGGCGCGACAACCTCGCGTAGCACGTGACCTTGAACAGCTCAAGTGGGTCGTGGCCGACCGCGGGCGTCGGATTTTTCCAGCTCTTCCCCACATTGGGCGGCTCAATTTTTCGTCGACCTTTAAAAAAAAAAAAACCTGCGCTTCCTCCCGACCTGACGATCTTTCTTCACCAACAACAACACCAACAACGGCTTCGCAGCCTTGCATGGTCCGGTAAGTCTACGCTCGCGCGCACGTCGCGCTTTTTTCTCGCCTCCCAATCTCTTCTGATGACACACCAAACACCGCAAACTAGAGTCTTTGACCACTGGAATGAAAACTCTGTTTTACACGTCAGTCTGATCGACCTTGACAATTTCACATTGCGTTTCGAGCTCAACACCTTGCAACGACACGACGCTGACTCGACGCAGGCTTTTGCAGATTCTTCTGACGCTGGACACATCATGGCTACGTTGCTGCTCTCACATGGCTGATTGCCAAGGTAAGCTCTTGCATTTTCTTCTTCCGCCTCCCTAAGAACCTGATGATTCATTTTTTCGTGCTTTGCACGGTTGGAATTACCGGCTGAAATCCATTGACGATAAAAACTGGCTGTTTCTGACTGTTCACCCCTACTGTCTCTTGTTTTGTGCCTCGCGTCGACCTTGAACTGTCGCTAACATGGACACCAGCTTCCCGACAAGGTACATACCAAACACATCCCCCTTCCCTCATCATCGTATGATGAAACGGCACTGGGCTCCGAGAGTACCCAATGGGACTCGCTACATGAGCAGACAAGCCACTTTGCGGCAGGCCTAGAAAACCTCGCCCACTGATCCTCGATCCGCACACTCAACTTGTCGGGCCACGACTTTGCGCAGCAGAGGCTGACCAACAACAGTGTCGGAAGTCCTGAGCATCGCCTCTCTGACTTGAGTCGCCGTTCCGGTGTTGTTATGGTAGGTCGCTTTTCGCTTCATCCCCCAGCCTTCGTGATGAGTTATTAGATGACGAGTCTGATTTGGGCATCTACCCAATGCGGATAACTTTTATACCTTTCCATTCATGCAACACTGAATTGGCTTCACAAAATCAATTGTTTATCAAGATGGGCATGAACATCGCTAACTTTCATTTCTCAGACTCCACCGGAACCATACTAATGGGTATGTTCCATCATTCTTCACACCCAGCCTCCCGGGCTCCGTTCTCCTGATGAACGATAAACCAAAAGACAAGCATATGTCAGAGCCTCACGGCGAAGCTGAGAAACGTTGACTACTAGTCATTCTGATCAGACACTTCACATGCAACGCCTTTGGAAGTCTGGAGAATGCAGGTGGCTAACCGATCACCAGTGCTGTGATCTCTTCCATGTTCACGTTCACGAGCATGTACCACTCGGTAAGCATACACTTTTCTTCTTAGAACCCACTCCCCATCGTCTCATGTGATGATCATAAAATTTTCACGACGGTCTCCATAGCCATATGCTTTGATGATAGTGCCTTTGACAGGGCTCCCATACTGATATTTGACGCTTCATTTTGTTGTTTTTGAAAGTCGTGGTTTGAAAACAATTGCTAACTGAAGTCGTCCAGGTCTTGACTTTCCTACGGGATCTTGTCTTTTCATTGTATGCGTCGCCCATGTGCGTCGCTATGAAGAAGAGCTGCGGTACTGAGGCTGTGTGATGTTTCGTCGTGTCTGAGCTCTCACAGTCGTTCCCATGAATCATGATGCCAAAGACAGATTGTTTTTAGTTAATATTAGCTATCATTAGGGGTATCATAAGCCATCAGCAACACTATGCGAGCACTGCTGCGTGCCCTTTTTCTGTTTTATCCAAACCCAAACGCCGAACCGATGCCTTCCCATCCCTTCCAGACCCGTCATGTACGGAGTGAGTCAATTTTTCTAAATGCTTCCCGTTCCGAGTAACACAGCGCCAGCAAAGAATGCCACCAAGGCAGCAAACGAGTCGCGCGGGTCATGCATAGCACCGCTGCTCTTGGGCGTCGACGTGGCCGTGAATACGCCCGTCAGGACCGTCGTGGAAGACGAAGCGGCAGGCTGTGTCGACGTGGGCGCCTTCGTGGCCAGGGGCCAGTCGCTCTCCGCGCTGTAGAGCACGCCGTTGATGATGGTGCCCTCCCCCTCTCGCAGCATCTTCTTCTGATCGCTGGAGCAGGAGGACTCCATGTAGCGGATCCAGCATGTCGGCTTTGGCGAGTCGGGCAGCTTGTCCGTGTGCGTAGCCTCAGAGTCTCCCGTGGTGTTGTAGGTGGTCAGGTTGACTTGGTCGCCCGTCGACACGGACGTGCCGAGGATGACGCGCGCAAACACCTGGAACGCCGTTTCCGGCTGGTACGCCGGGACCGAGTGGCCGGCCTGGTAGATGCGACTGAACGACAGGTTGCCAAACTGCCGAACGACGCCGCCAATATAGGAATCGTTGACGATGATGGGGGCGTAGCCAGCGGAACTGAACTTCTGCCCGTACGTGGTCCCGGCCTGCCAGGCGAGGTTGAGAGATGCAGCCTGCCCGCCCAGCCAGTTGCAAATGTAGTCGCGGTCGCCGTAGATTAACGCAACGCGGATGCCTCGCTTCAGGAGATCAGCCAGCTTCGGGATCAGGGGACCTCTCATATAGTCGCCAGTGTCACTAAAGCTGCTGTAGACCGCCTGACTGGTCATAGTGAAGTTGACGACAGAGCCAATGGCTTGCTGGAACCCTGCCGTATTCACGTACTCGAGGTATGTGCTTGGGGGGAAGGAGTCTGGGTTCTCGCGAGCAATGTCATACCAGCTTCTGCCCGCCTCCGCGTACGGCAGCATGACGTTCGTAAAGCAAGTACTATACGCGTTTGAACACAGGTCGTTCACTTCCCTCACCGCGCCAGTGTTGTTAGCATCGTAGACAGAGTTGGCCGTGCGGCACTGTCGGATGAGGTCCAGGCAGCCGCCGTTCGTATAGAGACTACCGTTGGCCAGGCTGGCGCGGACATCGTTCATGGCTTTGAAGCCGTACGTGTTGTTGATGGCCATTTGGGGGTAGTACTCTTGCTGGATCTGGTCGTCAATGCAGCCGTTGACGATGCCGAGAGACGTCAGGTGGATCTCGAGCGTCTTGTTAGCGGACAGCGTCCCGTTCGCGCGCTTGTCGTTCTGTTCCTCCCAGACGTCTGAAAAGACCGGCCCGTACTTTCCACCGTAGCTTTCCGCAAAGAGGTTGATGCCGAGCGCGCTGTTGTTTGGCGGGTTGTACTGAGGGAAGGCGCCGAGGAAGCCCTGCAGCATATGCCATATCGCCATCGCGGCCGTCTCGGTGGTGTTTGCCGTGTTGTTCGTGTTCAGCGAGCTGAATGTGCCGTTGAGGAATGTCGCCGGGTTCTGTCCGCTCGGCACAGGCTGTGGCGGGGTGGACTGATTGGCAGTGAACAGGTCCATCGAGCCATTGGTGGCGATGTCGTAGGAGAAGCCGACTTGGTTGGGCTGGGCGGTTAGCATGCGGGTGCGACGAGAATAGTTCTTGGAGCTTACCTGGTCAATGAACAGCATGTTGGAGGCGCGGTCCCAGCCCCATTCCCGCGCAATCGTGTCGTACTTGTCCAGGCCCTTCTCGACAACCTCGCA